TCATCCAAAAGACAGCAGCAGCAATAATAATAGCAACAACAACAACAACAACAATCCTTGCATTTGATACAGCGCCTCATCACGTCGTCGAGGCGTCTCAAAGCGCTTCACAGGCTACTCCGCAAAGTTCCAGCGACTGTGTATTTTGTGGGCGAAACGCGGCAGCCGGTTTTGCCTACAGCAAAGCGCCACCCGGGGAGAGAGAGAGAGAGAGAGGGAGAGAGGGAGAGAAACTCCCTTCTCTTTTCGAACAGCGTCGCGGGAGATCTTTAACATCAGCCTGAACAGGGCACAGACAGACAGACAGACAGACAGACGGGGATCTCAGTTTAAAGTCTCATTCAAAGGACCTCCTGGAATAAATTGCTTCCCCCCCACCAACACCACCGCGGACCTGCTCTGACCTTCATGTCCCCCAGAAGAGCGGAGGCATCCCGGATGCCCTCGGGGACGCATTTCTTGTTGTCGGGCAAAGACTCCAGTTTCTCCACCAGCGCCTTCAGCCCCTTCAGCTCGAACTCCGTCAGGTGGATCCACTTGCTGGGCCCCTCGGCCGCGGGGGTCCGGGGGGGCTCCGGGGAGACCGGCCCCTGGGACTTGCTGCTGGTGTCCGAGTCCTCGGAGATGGATCGTATCAGCTGCTTGGCTGGCTTGCGTCTCTTCTTGGGGGTCTCGCTGGGCTCGCCGTTGGGCGACGGTGGGTCTGCGCTCTGGAAGCTGGTCTCGTCGCGCTCCTCTTTGATCCTCATGTCGCACACTCTCTCCTCCATGTCCGTCCGGCACTCCCCCATCCCCACCGGGCTCTCCACTTTGGCTTTCCACTCGTTATCTGATGCCAACAAACGAGGGAGCGAGCAAGCGAACAGACAGACAGACAGACAGACACAGTCAAATCCTCGGTATTAAAAGCGCTCAAAGCCTTTCCAAGGGCGTTACTCTCAAGCGTAGTGACTGTTCACTCCCACTCACCTTTCCCCCACCACCTCCTTCGAGGCCAGTCTCAAGACCTTCCTCTTTGACTTCAGCCTTCAGTCATCTTCCCCACCTCCCCGCCCTCTACTCCTCTCGACTCCCCCAGAGCTTGGGTGCAAACCCTTGACTTGTCCAGGAGCGCCTTGAGACGTCCTCCTGTCAGCCAGGACACGGGCAGAGAGAGAGAGAGAGAGAGAGAGAAACTCCCTTCTCTTTCCCTCCCCCCACCATTAGCCCTGTGGGATCGCTAGGGTTTGCCTGAGCGCGTGGATTCACGCTGTTTATGCAACGTGCACGAGTTCACTCCCGCTTACCTACCTATCAGCATCGACTCCCTGCGGTATTCCTTGGTGAGGTGTGAGCGTTTGGTCAGACAGAAGACGTAGCGTTCCAGCACATACCAGCACATCTCATAGTAAAATGGGTAGCGGAACTTGCCGTTCACCTGCGAGGCAGAGGGAGAGGGTTGGGCTGTGAGACAGAGAACAGCCAGAGATTCAAACACTAGCGTCGGTGTGAATACGGTGACATCTACCCCACACACACGTGTGCACTCACACGCTCGGACATGCACGTGAGGGTGCACACATGTGCACATGTATATTCACACGTACACAAGCACATACAGTGCGCACACACACACACGCGCGCGTGTATATTCGCATGTACACAAGCACATATGGTGCACACACACACACAAACACAAGCAGAGGCATCTACAGTATACACACTGTACACACGTACGTATATACACACACACACAGCATACACACACAGAGGCATGTTCAGTATATACACACACGGACATGATGGGGGGGAGGGGGGGGGGGGTGGGGAGTGTCTTACTCGGGTACGGTCCTCAATCTCGTAGATGTGGAGCTGCATGGGAATGTTAAAACTGTGCAAAAAATTCCCCCCGAACACCAGGGTGTCCTCAGGCGTGTAAACAGCGTGGATCCATCCTGAGAAAGACAGAAAGAAAAAGGCCAGAGCAGTCAATCCCACTGTCCCTGCGGTAATCCAGGCCTTCGATCACAAGAGACAACTCCTACCCCCACCCTCCCTTCCTCCTGATCCCAACCCCCAGCTCAGGTCCAAATCCCTGACTGCCCAGTGCCTTGGGATGTCCTCCCGACATGAGAGGCGCTGCGTAAATGTAATCTGTTGCTGTTTGTTGTACACGAAACGTCTGCGTGTCTTACCTGAGGGGATGAGGAAGGTGTAGCCTTGTTTGAGCTCCACGCGCTGACACCCGTCCACACGGTCTCCCAGGAAAATGTCTCCCTGTTTCCCCGACAGAACCCACTCCTCGTAAATCTCCAGGTTGTGCACTGTGGGAGGTACTAACCAGAAAACCTGGAGGTGGTGGGATGTGGGGGGGGGGGGGGGTGTGGGTGGGAGAGAGAGAAAGAGACCGGTCACACATTCCTCAACTACCCGCTCTTCTCACCATCACCTCTTTAACTCAGCTACAAAACATCTACAGACATTGAACTTTCTCCAGAAGTTTCCACCTCCCTAACGCCCAATCACATTCTAGGGACCCTACCCGGAGCCTCTTAAGCAACGGTGATGCTTAAGGGTTTCTGAGTGTGTGTGTGTGTGTTTCGCTCAGTTGGTTGCACACCTGCCACTGCGTGCAAAAAGAAAAGGTGCCCCTCAATAATGCAACCTCCACTCCCTTCTCCCCCAACTAGTCTGTGCTTTGTGTTGGTTGGACAAACCCACACAGAAATATTTCGCCCACAAAATACACAGTCAATTCACTTTGCAGTGTACCCTGTGAAGGGCTTTGAGGCGTCTCGACGACGTGACAAGGCGCGATTTTGAATGCAAAGATTATTTTTATTATTATGATTATAATTAATTGCTATCAACATCCCCGTTACTGTAGCATGCGACTACCAGGATGGTAGAAGGTGAACCAGATGGACCCTGGTCTTTTTTGGTCTAACAATTCTCTTTCTCTGTCTCTCTCTCTCTCTCTCTCGTTACTCCCTCTCTCCACGTCTGCTTTTTTTTTTAAAAAAAACGGTATTCCCGGGTCACGGATGGCACGGCAACGGGAGGAATTCTCGGGAACCACGTGAGACTCACCTTTCCCCCGCGCAGGATGTGATACCAGACTGAAGTGCCCCCAAAGTCAATGTGGAAATCAGTGTAGCATCCCTTCACACTCATCAGACAGTACCTGAGAGAGAGAGAGAGAGAGAGAGAGAGAGAGAGAGAGAGAGAAAGAGAGGGAGGAAGGGAGAGCAAGAAAGCAAAAAGAGAGTGGAGAGAGGAAAGCAAAGGGAAAGAGAACAGGACTGTGATTAATCATCTGGTGACCGACAGTGAGTGACAGAGCGCGTCTCGCCAGCCATCGCACAGCTTGCGAGAGAATTGCATTGCAACGACACAGTCACTACACCCTTCGGGGATCGATGGGAGAGGTTTCTGCTGTTAGAGCCGTGGCACCGAGATCAGAGGGGATATTTATTTGTTTACACCCTCGCTGAGACGCTGAAGTCCTGGAGCCACGTTCTGACACAATAATAATACGGCCTCCGCCAAATAACACAGTGTGGTCGGTTTGCTTTACACTCCCACCACCCGTTCCCCACACACACATACGCACACCCACACACACACACACACACACACACAATCACACAGACAATCACACCCACACATACAAGCACATACGATCACGTAATTACACACACGCAGACATGCATCACACACACACACACACACACACACACACAATCAAAGACGCACACATCACAATCACGCAAACACACAAAACACACAGGACTCACTGATCGCACGCTACATGCGCACAATTACAGGTCAAAGGCTCGCGTCAAGTCACTATCTGTGCGCGCGAAGCACAAAAAAGCACACAGCACAGGCTGCAGCCACCACAGCCAGCCTCCCGCTCACACTCACAGCTCACCGAGCTCCCGGCTGCTCTAACTAATGGCTGAACTAATGAAATGTAGCTTCCCGTCTCTCTCTCTCTCTCTCTCTCTCTCTCTCACTCTCTCTCTAACCTCTGCTCCCACCTCGCAGCTCACAATCCAAGAATACCCACCATCGCCGCCCTGCGGAATCTGCTCATCACCTCCATCCTCTCCTCCCGGAACCTCTTGGTTTGCAGAGACCCAATCACCGGCTCAGGCCCACATCACAAGCCTCTCTCCTTCCCTCTCTTCGCCCCCCACCCCTCCTCCCCCCACCCCCCGCCCCCCCCCCCCCACCCACCCCGATGCCAGCCAACACAGCACAGACGCCCTCTGGGCTGAGGAGTGATCCACTGCTTAGCAACAGGAGCCTTGGGAGTGAGGTTGACACAGACGCTCAGGCACTGATGTCATGAAGGAAGAACTCAGGGCCATTTGCACGGTCCTGACTGACGGGCTTTGTTCCTCCCACCCTCGCTCCCCCTCCCCCACTCACTCCCCCACTCCCTTCCTTTCTCGCTTCCCCTCTCCTCCCCCCCACCCCCCACCCCCTCCACCCTCCCTCACCCCCGCTCCCTCCCTCACCCCCGCTCCCAATACAGGAGCGGCTTTGATCCTGCCGTTTAAATCCCCGACAAGCAAACAAACAACAACAACAACTTCCGTCTTTCGGGTCAGACGTTAAACCTCACTCCCCCTCTGTGCCCTGAACGTTAAAGACCTCCCACGGCGCTGTTCGAAAAAGAGGAGTTTCTCTCTCCCTCCCTCCCTCCCTCCCCCCCCACCCCACAACCCCCCACCACCACCCGGTGTCTTGGCCAACAATCCCCCCCCCCACCCCAAAATGTGGGAGATATCGCTGGGCCCAAATTGGCTGCCGCCTTTCGCCCACAAAACACACAGTTACTGCACTTTACTTTACAGTCAGGTCCCGCGAAGCGCTTTGGGACGTCCTCCCGATGTGATAAAGCTCGACATTAAATGCAAGGATTATTATTATTATATTATTATTATTATATTATTATTATCACACAGCGCCCATCATGCAGGGTGGCGTCTCGGGAGCGCAAACGGTCAACAAGAGAGACTTCCGGAAAAGCCCCGACTCACTTTTGAACTTTGGGGTATTTCATCTCGGCGATGGCGTTGGTCGGCTCGATCTGCTTCTCCTTCAGGTGCCGCGGCCACATGTTGTCCACCCAGTCCACCAGGTCCACCTGTAACACGCGCACGCGCACACATGCAGAACATCACGCCACACGCTTCCATCACTCCCTTGTCTTGACTAAGCTAACTCGCCTTCTCTGCTCGCCAGATTTTTCGGCCAACTCTGCCCTCCAACAAGCTACGGGTTATTCAGAACCCTGTACTTCGTGTCCCCTCCCGCAGTAAGCTTAACACCCCCCGCCCCCGCCACCCATCCCACCCCATCATAGGAATAGGAGGAGGCCATTCAGCCCCTCGAGCCTGTTTCACCTTTCCATTAGATTGTGGCTGATCTGGACCTCAAGTCCCAATTTTCAAAAATATATAGTTTAAGAAATGAATTAGAATTAAAATTAATTAGAATTAAGCAAATCTCCCCCCCCCCCCCACCCCCCCACCAACCCTCCTCCCTCCCGCCCTGCCTGCCAGACTCTCACCACGGTGGGTCTCTTGACCAGGTTCTCCAGTTTGGTGTGGCTGAACTCCAGGCTGATGACATTGTAGAGTTTCTCTCGCTCGGCTTCAGGGGTCTCGTAGTAACGCACCCACTGGGACATGCTCATCTCAATCCCCTTCTGTGTGCTCACGTCCATCACATCCACGATCCTTCGGCTCCCTGCGGGGGGAGGGAGATACGAGGGGGGGGGGGGAGAGGAGACACAACGGTTAACGGCAGCGGCCGAGGGGGGTGTGCGGGGTGGTGGGAGATACAGGAAAAAAGAGAGCGGGAGGGGAATGGGGAAAAGAGAGCGGGGGGCGAATGGGGAAAAGAGAGCAGGGGGGACGGGAGCTCAAGCTTCCCCTTTCACATAGCAGTAAACCATCGTCAAATACAAGGAGATCAAAAAAAAATAATAGGAAGGTAGAATCTTTTCAATGTCAAGCTGGAGAGGAGAGACTGCAGTTGCAGTAATAATATTATAATAATAATTATTTGATAATAATCCTTGTATCTGATGCAGCGCCTTATCACATGGTCGAGACGGCTCAAAGCGCTTCACGGGTTACACTGCGACGCGAAGCAGTGTGTCTGTTTTGTGGGCGAAACGGGGCAGCCAACTGCGCCCCACAGTGGAGTTGGGGGAGGGCTCCAGGGCCCCCCTTTACCTAACGATCAAGTTAAATATAAAGAAATTTAAAAAAAAAGATAATAGGCAGCAGCTGCTGCTCAATGTCAGTCACTGCTGGAGGAGAGAGACTGCAGCTTCAACCATTGCCACAAGGCGGCAAGAGTGACAATAATATAATATATATATATACACACGCACATCTGTGTCTCACACACACACAATCTCACGCACACATACAAAGCCTCTTTCACACATACACACACAATCTCACACACGCACGTAGACAATCTCTCACACGCACACACATCTTGGGGGGGTCACAGTTCACTCTGCTGTTGTTCTCTCTTAACGGAAGGAAGTCTGCAGAATGTGTGCTCCAGCTCTGACACGCTCGCCACCACAGGGCAGCTTCGCTGCATGGGAATTCACATTGCAGTTACGAACACCTGCCAGCGGCCTTGTTCAGGCTATAAACAACCCCCTGCTCGCGCACCCCCACACCCCCCACCATACCCCCCCCCCCACCCCGCTGCTGCTGTCGGCTTAACAATAACATTAATAATTCCCGTGTGTGATTGAATGCGTCACAACGGTCGCAAATATTACTAACAATAATCCTGCCATTTGGTATTGCGCCTTATCACGCTCGTTGAGACGTCTCAAAGCGCTTCACCGTATGTACGACGGCGACAAAATGACATTTGTATAGCTCCTCCCAGGACGGGAGGATGTCCCAAGGCGCTGGACAGTCAGAGTCTCGGACCCGAACTGGCGGTCGGTATCGGGGAGGGTGGTGGGCAGAGGAGGAAGGAGGGTGATCGAAGGCACGGGAAGGTCTTCAGATGGCGGGGTGGGGTGCGGGGGGGCGCAGGGACTGCAGGATGGAATTCGGGAGCAGAGTTGCTGAGGGTCCTACCTCCCATAGTGGGGAAGGGGAGGTGAAGCAGACTGCAGCCCGCTGAACACTGGGAGCGAGCAGGATGGTAAGGGGTTAGGAGGTCGCAGAGGTAGGGGGGAGCAAGGCCATGGAGGGCTTTGAAGGTGAGGACCAGGATCTTGAACTGTCTCCTCTGTGTGAAGGGAAGCCAGTGGAGACTGGCGAGGATGGGGGGGTGATAGGGTCACGGACCCTGGTGCGGGAGAGGACACGGGCTGCAGAGTTCTGGATGATCTGCAGCCCGTGGAGGGAAGAGTTGGGGAGGCCAACAAGCAGGGCGTTTGCACAGTTAAGCCTGTGTACAAAGGTTTTGGCGGCCTGCGGCACGAGACAGCCAATTGCGCACAGCAATTTTGTTTCCGGTTGAACAAACGTGCAATCCAAGGCTGTTTGTGGGGACACTGCTGCCGCGTTTCGCCCACAAAACACAGTCGCTCCACTTCACAGTAGAATTCGGTGAAGCGCTTTGAGACATTCCTCCCCACGCGAAATACGCTTTACCAAATTTCTTAATTATTGCACCAAATGCAAGGACTATTATTTATTGCATCTCAATGCTTTTTTTTTTTCAAACTCACCAACGAATAGTTTCACGTCCCTGACGCTAAAATTGAGATCTGGAGTTCTGCAAGACAAAAAAAAAAATGTTAATTAAAATGTTCAGAAAGCCCTCAGACTCACTTGAAATTGGTTCTTAAAAACCCCACAATTTCACTCTCAGCGCCTAAATAAAGCCTATTTTTAAGTCTATTTTTTGGGAGTAGATTTTACGATTTGGCCGTCTTTTTTCCGAGCCAAAGAAAAATAAATCAGGGTATTAAAAATATATAAATTTATAAATTATGGTGAAACAGGGAGGAGAAATGGCCCACGGTGGGTTGTGACTGAACGTTCTTCACCTCTGCTGTGGCGCTGGGTCAGATGGGGTGGGATCGGCACGTTCTTACTCCACAGATATACTTGGGGTACAAATGTGAGAGAGTGAGAAAGAGGGTGAGTGAGGGAGAGCGAGAGAGAGTGAGAATGAGAGTGAGAGCATGAGTGAGAGCGCGACTGTGGGAGAGAGAAAGAGAGAGAGTGGGCGTCTGGCGGAGTTCAGCAAAGTGTATAACACATGGCAGCGAAATCAAACACCAACCCTGCATACGACGGATGGACAGACAGAATGACAGCCTTCTCTGACAATCCCACACAAACACACATTGCAGAATCAATCAATCAATCAATCAATCAATCAATCAATCAATCACAAGGTTGTTTCGCTTACTTGATCCCAAGTCCATCTCTCTCCCTGAAGATGAGGGGAACCCGTATCGCTTCCCTCTGCACATATTCAAATGTAAAATCTATTGCAATAAAATAAAGTACAATCAGTCGGCACAGTAAACAGACAACTTTAGGGGTAACTGCAGCGAAAAGGGGAGGGAAGGGAGGAAGGGGAGATGGGGGTGGGGAGAGAGAGTGGGGGCAGAGAGAGGGAGGAAGGGAAAAAAAAACTCATGCAATTAATTCCGCATAAATCATATTTTTAACAATATATACACCTGCCTATAGATTAGATACGCCTATTAAAAAGACACGACATTTGCACGTCATTCCTGCATCAATGGTATTTATTTAAAATATGACATATGATATATTTTAAATAAATATCATATATATATATATAACGCACACACGTTTTGTGCAGGGAAAAAAAACACCCGGTTCTGAAATATTTCCTTTTTTTGGGGGGGTGGGGTTATTATAATAAAAATAAATGAAACCAAATAAAAATGTCAAATCAAATAAATCAATCAATCAATCAATCAGTGAATAGATAAAAGAATGAATAAATAAATAAAACAAATCAAGAAAGCAATCAATCAATCAATCAATCAATGAATAAATACATCCGCCCCCACGGAATAACCACAACGTCAATGACCAAACCACCACCACAACAACAACAACAACAACAACAGCAACAACAACAACAACAACCACCACCACCACGTCACCAGGTGACGTCATAAGGACGCGGGAGATTTGAATCGGGACCTGAGCTCCGGCACTGACCACAGGACCCAAACGGCGCTCATCCACTGCTCTTTGAAGTGACTTCACTCACCGCTATTTACCGGTGAAACAAAACACATTCTTTTGCTTCGGCCTAACCCCACCCCCCACCCCCCAACCCCCACCCCCAACCCACCCCCGGAAAAAAAAAAAAAAAAGAAAACCCCTTACCTGCCCCCTTCATAAAGTGCACGAAACTGGAGCAGTACGTGTCACTGCTCAGCTTTTCTTCCACGTCGAAGGACCTCATGTTGGTTATCTCCTCGTCTGATAAATCCTCATCGTCGTATCGCCGTCTGCAAAACGCTCGCTGTACCGCACCGGAAAAAAAAAACACACAACACACACACACACACACACACACACACAGATCAAAAACACACACAAGATCTGCACGTTGTGTCGTGTCGTGTGTCATCCCATCCCATCCCATCCCAACCCATCCCATCCCAACCCATCCCAACCCATCCCATCCCATCCCAACCCATCCCATCCCATCCCAACCCATCCCAACCCATCCCATCCCACGTCGCCCCCCCTTTAAGTTTTTGCAAAAAAAAAATTAGAAATGTTCTTTACGCTGCAAATTGCAGTGGAAAACTCCGCGTGTTTTTTTTTCTCTCGCGTGTGTGCCTTTGCTCTCTCTCTCTCTCACTCTCTCTCTCTCTCGAAATGCCCCCCTCTCCCCCCCCCTCTCCCCCCCCACTTTGGCAAATTTTATTCGTGCAAAAATGCTCTTTTTTTAAAAAAAAACTCTTACGTTTTAATGTGAATTGAACGTTACCCACGACTTTAAAAAAGCCACTTTTTAAAAAAAAAGTGACCCGATTCTTTCTCGCGACCACATCGCGATCATTGCATCGGTATTTTTTTTTTTGGGGGGGGGTTTAATACTGTGATTGCATTTTAAAGGGTTGGTTTAAAGAGCAACAGTGTGCATTTCCCCTAAAAAAAAAGGTCATTGCATCCTTGCTTTTTCCCCCCCCTTTCTTATTTATTCGTACCGTTAACCCGGTGTCGGTCTCGTGCATTTTGTTTTAAAAGATATATATGTAAATCTATACATCTATATATCTATATATCTATTTGCAAAAATAAATGCATTGCAATTTGCAATGACTGTTGTCGGTAAAGTTACTTTAGTTCACTTGTGTAACGTTTTGAACCAACGACCCTCACTTCAATGGGTATTTTTTTTTGGGGGGTGGGGGGAAGGCATTTAAATCCCCAACTTGTTTCTTTTTTTTCCTTGCAAAAATAAGGTGAATTCTCAATTTATTTGTAAACAATATAAAATCTCTCTCTCTAAATATACATATAACAAATAAAAATAAGAACTAAAACGATCGGATCTCCCCCCCCCCCCACCGAATCAATTGATTTGCCAACAAATTAGGATTGCAGGTTTGACCAGAACAAATTCTTAAATAAAACTTAATTTGAATACAAAATAGTGTGTGTGTGTGGGGGGGGGGGGTGGGGGGGGGGGGGTGAAAGAGATGGATTTATATGCCAAAATGCATAGCAAATTGAGAGGGTTACATTTACAATTTCATTTCCTAATGTGCCAGGTATTTTTTTTAATATATAATATACATATACACACAAACAAGTGACCATATTTTTTTTGGTGGTGGGGGTGGGGGGGGGGGGTTAAATATTTCGAGACAACATTACGAGTTGCAAAACAATGTATCCGGGTTATAGCGAGATCTCTTAAAAACTCTTTTTTATACATATATATTGCATTGTATTGCATTGCATTTATATTTATATATTAAAAAAAGAAGGGTGGAGTGGGGTGAAGGTGCAACCTTTTTAAAAAAAAAAGTCTTCTCTCTGCAAAAGGTGAGGGATGGGTTTGGAAAGGAAAGGACGGGGATGAAATGTTTCTTTTGCAATCACTAGGCCCTGCTGGACGATTGGTCGGTGAGAAAGATGGGGAAGAGAAGCTTCGCTATCATTTCCTCATTGCAATCTTGTAAACACACACTACAGGACACTCACAGACACACACACACACACACACTACACTGCACACACACACACACACTACACTGCACACAGACACACACACAGACACACACACTACACTGCACACAGACACACACACTACACTGCACACAGACACACACACTACACTGCACACAGACACACACACTACACTGCACACAGACACACACACTACACTGCACACAGACACACACACTACACTGCACACAGACACACACACACTACACTGCACACAGACACACACACACTACACTGCACACACACACACACTACACTGCACACAGACACACACACTACACTGCACACAGACACACACACACTACACTGCACACAGACACACACACACTACACTGCACACAGACACACACACACACTACACTGCACACAGACACACACACTACACTGCACACAGACACACTATACTCTATACACACACACACACACACATACATACATACAGACACAAGTTGCAATCGTAACTAGGTCGAGGAAGAAGGAAAAAAGGTTGGTGGAGGGGAGGAGGGGGGGGGGTGGGTGGGAAGAATGTTTTTTTATATATATATTAAAAAAATAACCTTTTTTTCCCCCAAAAAAACACGTCTCTGAAATTAACAGGAACTTATAATTCACCCACCCACTCTATAAGCAAAAAAAACATCGACCCCCCACCCAGGCACAGACACACACACAAATTCTAATCAATACCACGAACCCCCCCCCCCCCACACACACACACACACACACACACACACAAGCAAAAACTGCAGCCCCCCCCAACCAAAAAAAGAAAAACTGCAAACTGCAAACCCATGTTTTTTTAAAAAATTGTCATCATTATTAACCTTTCCCCCCCCCCCCCCACACACACACACACACACCCCACACCCCCCTCCTCCACCACCACCACCACCACCAAAACTCGTTGCAAAAGAACTACAGACCAATTGTCGTCCAGATTCCTTCTCTACATCCATTGCTGAGAGAGCATTATTCTAAAGCGCCAATGCATCGCCCAGGATATTATATGGTGGTGTTGGAATCCACAAATAGATAAGTTTTTCACTCCCCTCCACAGCCCTGCACAGAAAGACACCATCTCTCTCTCTCTCTCTCTCTCCAGGAGTTACAGCTCATGTTACGTCATTGCACTTTTGCAAACCAACCCTCCCCATATACACACACACACACACACACACACATACATACATGCACACACACACACACACACACAGACACACAGACTCCCTCCCCTCCCCTCCCACAAAAAAATACACCTTACGTCATGTCATTTTTTTTTGCACAAACAAAAAATTTTCTTATTTGCTCCAATAAATCTGCATTGAATTTCCTGATGCCTTTTTTTTTGTGTGACTCTCTCTCTCTCTCTCTGTTGTGTGTGTGCGTTTGTAGGTATGTCTCTCTCTCTCTCTTTTTTTTCTCCTCCCCCCCCCCCCTCTTTTTCTCTCGAATTTGCATTGCACGTTGCATTATCCACGTCTCTTTTTTTTTAACCCCAAAAAGAAAAAAAAAAGCCCTGGGATTGCGAATTGTGGGATTTGATGCAAAGAGCAAAAGAAGGGGAGGGAGGGAGGGAGGGAGTGTGTAAAAAGAAACGAGACACCTACGCAGGCGCTGTGTCTGTCTCTCCTCTCTCTCTCTCTCTCTCTACCACACACACTTGTTTCCTGAAATGACAGACAATATCTTCCTCCCTCTCTGCACTTCCCATCTCTCTCTCTCTCTCTCTCTCTGGGGTAATCCACCCCATTTGCAAGTTCAATAGGAAGTGAGTGAGAGAGAGAGAGAGAGAGACTACTCTGCAAATACTGCACTCTAAATTCTCTTGTCTGTTTCACACATTATTCCTGTAGAGAAAAATATGTGTGTGTGGTGTGGGTGTGTGTGTGTGTGAGTGAGTACAGCACCAGAAATACATCTTAGCAAGCTATTTCCTTCTCTCCTCCCCTCTCTCCTCCCTTAAAGGCAGACAGCACTGATAGTCAATACAGCGACAACAACTTGCATTTATATAGCACCCCTCACCCCCCACAGGGCAGTGTCCCAGAGCGCTTCCATTAACCCCACCATTGAGTCATCTTTTTTTTAAAAAAATGTAAAAAAAACACAGATTTCGAGCTAAAACGTGGTTTGGGGCTGAATTAATCGTTGCGTTCGGTTTGCACGACAGTGCAGCAATGACGACGGCGACAACTTGCGTTTAAAGTTCCCCTCCCCTCCATCATTGGCGGCCTCGCTTTCAGCCACTACGCCCTGAAACTCTGGAACACACTCCCTCAATCCCTCCGCCTTTGCTCCCTCCTTTCCCCCATCTTCAGGTCGCGCCTGAAGACCTTCCTCTTCGACCGTGCTGACAGTCACCTCCACGCTTCACCCCGGCTTGGCATCAGGCTCCGCCACTGTCGAGCGCTCTGGGATGCTGCCCTGTGTGAGGGGCGCTATATAAATGCAAGTTGTTGTTGTTATTTAATCTGTGTGGCTGTTGATCCGTCACTAAAATCAAGTCTGTCAATAGGCACCTTGGGGACCAAACAGGTGAGTCTTCAGGGACAAGACTGTTGACATTCAACCCTTAATTCAGTATTGATAATAATCTAATTTACTAAAGACCTCCTTTATAATTCGCTGTTTGTCGTACATTTAATTGTTCAAAAACTTTTTAAAGAATTGATCTGCTTGGAGAGGGGTTTATTAATGTAATATGTAATAATACATAATAATAATAATCCTTGCATTTGATACAGCGCCTTATCACATCGTTGAGACGTCTCAAAGCGCTTCACAGAATATACTGTCCAGTGGATTGACTGTGTATTTTCTGGGAGAAACGCGGCAGCCAATTGGCCACAAACAGTCATGGATTGAGTGATCAAATTATTTTGTTTGTTTTTTCTGAAAGGAATATTACCCGCGAAAAGCGATCTGCCAATCTGCTAACAAACGGGTTCCAACTTACTGATAGGTAAACAGAGGCGTGTGGAATCAGGAAACTTGCCTAAGGTTACACCCTGCCCAGGAATTGAACCTGGGTCCTCTCGCTTGCGAGACGAGAGCTCTAACCACTACTCTACGGGACTCCAAGGGTCTGTTTCAGATGGATGTCAAAGATCACACGGCACAATTTGAACGAGAAGTAGGGGGTTCACCCCGTAGGCTGGTCAGCAATCCCCCTGCCTGGTGTATTTGCCAACAAACACACACACTCAATACATTTTACAACAGTTACCTGTGAAGTGCTTCAGGTGTGTTTCCACATTTTATCAGCCGAAGCGATTGATGTTTATTATTATTTCACACACAGGATATGAACTGTAGACATTAGAAAGTAGACAAACTATTGAAACTCACAACATAGCCTCATGCTTATAAGCTTCAGTGGTCACTATGTGTTTCTTTCCCACACCACAAACCATCACACCTCACTTACATCGCTCACACATTATGTTCTGTTTCCAAAACAAGTGGACTCTCTGGATCGTGTAATTAATAATAATAAATAATAACATAATAATCTTGGCATTTGATACAGAGCCTTATCACATTGTTCGAGACATCTCAAAGCGCTTCACAGGATATACTGTAAAGTGCAGTGACCGATTGAACCACCCAAGTCCCAAGTCAACTACCAATAGTCAGAGATAACCCCACAAGCCTCCCTTTCTCTATGGAAAAGTATGGAACACGTTTTTGATATAGCGCCTTATAATGTCACAACATCTCAGAATGAAATTAAATAAAAATAGTCACTCAATCCACGACTGTTTGTGGGACATTGTTGTGCCAAACTGGCTGCTGCATTTCACCCACAAAATTCATAGTCAATCCATTTTACAATATATTCTGTGAAGCGCTTTGAGATGTCTCGATAACATGATAAGGTGCTATATCAAATGCAAGAATTATTATAATATACAACAACTTGCAATATCCGTGACGCACTTTTAGATGTTCTCTGTTAAGTTCAAGTCTGTGTCCGTCCATCAGTCGTCATCCCCCCGTTGTTGAGTGTGAGACCGTATTATTACCATTCAGTTTATCTGAATGTCTTTAGGATCTTGACTACATTAATAAGATCTCTCCCCCAGCCACCACCCCCCTCCCCGCACTTACCTTCTGCAGTGTCGATGCTCTGAGCTTCCTCTCCGCTCTCCTCGTTGACTCAGTTATCAATGATTATGAATGGCAATAATAACCCCCCCCATTTGACGCGAGGCCCATAACGTCTCAAAGCACTTCACAGGGAATTGCTACTCAAATGCAGTTATTGCCCCCAATGCAATGACCGATTTGCACACAGCAAAGCTGCAACAAACAAACTTTTTTGGGGTCAGCCGGGTGGGTGTCTGATACATGCGGGAACCTAGCACCGTGCTCCAGAATATCCGAAGCAAACCGAGAATTCCCTGCATCCCACCTACACATGGAAATCCCAGAGATAGTTTGTCGGAATGGAATGCGCTCTCTCTCCCTGGAGGGATGCATCCTTCTTACTCAATTCCGGAGCGTATTGAGGGCCGGTTGGCAGGAGCCAAGGCTTGGGGGACCCCAGAGCGTGCATTGGGGTGACTGCTGGATTCTGACCAGCTTGTCATTGAGAGCGCTGACTGGTGAGCTTTCCCACTGCTTGTCCAGCTAGGACCTCTCTACCCGTTAGGGCTTTGGCTTGCAGGGTTAACAGGAGCTGAGCGGGGTAATTCCCCGGCCCCCAACGATCGGTCAGCCCTTCCAAGTCCTGACGAAGAGCCATATATAATAATCCTTGCATTTCATACGGCGCCTTATTACTCCGTCGAGACGTCTCAAAGAGTTTCACAGAATATACTGTCAAGTGGATTGACTGTGTATTTTGTGGGCCAAACGGGACAGCCAAATGCGCGCAGCAGCGGCCCACAAACAGTCATACACACACATATATATATATAATATCAGAAAAAGGGGGGAATAATTAAACCAGAACAATTCTAGCCAGTTTTAGTAAAAGAAAACACAGCGTGGTTTCCAGCCACATCAAATCTAAAACAACAAACATGTTCAGATCTCTCTCCTGTCCCCTCTTCTCCTCACTAAAGGCCACACTCTTCATCAGGGCCTTAAACCAACCCACCCACTGTATACTCCAGGGCACGATTTCGTGCAATTGTTATTTTTTTCGCCCAAATAAAAAAAATGTGAAGCATCTATTCTTTCAAAGTCAAAAATAAAAACCCATCCTGAGAATCTGCAGGGGAGGGGGGGGTTTGCTCAGATTTATATATAAATATATACACTGTGTATATATATATAGAGAGAGAGAGTCATCTAAAAATAGCAAACGTGTTCCTTTAAATCTCGTGGTATGCAAATCATTTCCTTAATATTTTTTTCCCCCCCAAATAAAATGAATCGGTGTTTTATAGATGTGTCTATTTTTGGGGGTGAAAAAAAAAGTCTGATTTGTTTTTTAAGTTTAAGTGCATTTTGCAAAGTGAAACTGAGGTTAAAAGGCTTTTTTTCCCCACCACCACCACCACTGTCTCTATCTCTGTGTGTGTGTGTGTGTTGTGTGTATGTGTATCTATTATAAAACGCGACACTCTCAACGGGTTCAACTTACTCAGGTCGGTTTCCTTCTCAAATCAGTCTGCAATTGGGAGGTGTGTGTGAGAGAGGGGGGAGGGTTTTTTTTTGTGTGAAGGGAGGGAGTCAGGGAGACAGATGGGGATGAGGGGGAGAGGGAGAGGGAGGGAGGGAGGGAGGGAAGGAAGGAAGGAAGGAAAGAGAGAGAGAGAAAGAGAGAGAGAGGGAGAGAGAGGGGGGGGGAGGGCAAACCATGCATTTGCTCCCTCCCCATGAGATCAGTCGGTGCTTATGCAAAAAGCGCACTCCCACCACCAGAGCCCTTCCCACCATTATCTGTGCTGTGTGTGTGAGTGTGTGTGAGTGATAGTGAGTGTTTGCTGACTCTCACTCAGGGCAGTGGGGAGTGAGGGAGGGGGTGAGGGAGGGGGGGAGCGGCCGATATCTGTCTCTGGCTATTGGGGGTTAGAAGAGATAGCGTGAGTCAGTGTGTTGTGTCTCTGTCTGTCTGTCTGTCTCTGTCTGTCTGTCTCTGTCTGTCTGTCTGTCTGTGTGCTTGTCTTTGTGCTTTTGTCTGTGTGCTTGTGTGTCTGTGTGTGTGGCCTGTGTGTCTGTATCTGTGCTTGTGTGTGTGTGCCTGTGTGTGCCTGTGTGTGTGTGTGTGTGCCTGTGTGTGTGTGTGTGTGCCTGTGTGTGTGTGTGTGTGTGCCTGTGTGTGTGTGTGCCTGTGTGTGTGTGCCTGTGTGTGTGTGTGCCTGTGTGTGTGTGTGTGGCCTGTGTGTGTCTGTGCCTGTGTGTGTGTGCCTGTGTCTGTGTGCCTGTGTGTGTGTGTGTGCCTGTGTGTGTGTGTGTGTGTGTGTGTGTGTGCCTGTGTGTGTGTGTGTGCCTGTGTGTGTGTGTGTGTGTGCCTGTGTGTGTGTGTGTGTGCACCAGTGCCAATTGTGGGTCCGAGTTGCAGCCCATCTGGTGCTAACACGGGGCGGAACTTGCGCAGTTTCCATAGATTTCGAAGAAACGAAGGGGAAGGGCCGAGAGGAGGTGACTGCCTTGAGGGTTGGGTTTGGCTGAGCCCAGCACCGGGGGCAGGACCTCCCCCTCCCCTTATTAGCTACTACTACCGGCCTCGGGGCTCTGGCTTGGATGGGGTGTTTTTTTGGGGGGAGTGGGGGGGAAAAACACTTTTTTTTTGTGGAGGAGCGTTTCCTGAGCACTGTGAGTGAGAGAGAGAGAGAGAATCGGTGTATGTGAGTGAGAGACAGTGTGTGAGAGGAAGGTAATGTCAGAGAGATTCAGTGTGTGGGTGAGTGAGTGAGAGATTCAGTGTGTGTGTGAGGGAGTGTGAGATTCAGTGTGTGAGTGAGTGTGAGTGAGAGATTCAGTGAGTGAGTGAGTGAGTGAGTGACAGTATGTGAGAGTGTGGCACTGAGTGAGTGAGAGATGCAGTGTGTGAGTGTGTGTGTGTGTGTGTGAGAGGGGGTGACACACACACACACACACACAGTGTGGGAGAGCCTGGTACACAGTGTGTGGTGTATGTGTGTGTGTGCGAGAGACACACAGTGTAATGACTTGAAATCGCTACAGTCAATATCACCGCCGTCAGTGTTGCTGTTTGAAATCAACAAAAAAAGCAACTTTGTTTCCCTCCCAAGAACAGCGACTGTGTGTGTGTGTGAGACTGTGTGTGTGACTGTGTGTGTGAGAGAGACTGTGTGTGTGACTGTGTGTGTGAGAGACCATGTGTGTGACTGTGTGTGTGACTGTGTGTGTGAGAGAGACTGTCTGTGTGTGTGAGAGACTGTGTGTGTGAGACTGTATGTGTCTGTGTATGTGAGTGTGTGTGAGACTGTGACTGTGTGTGTGATTACTGTGAGACTGTGTGTGTGAGACTGTGTGTGATTACTGTGTGTGTGTGATTACTGTGTGTGTGAGACTGTGTGAGACTGTGTGTGAGTGTGTGTGAGTGTGTGTGTGTGAGACTGTGTGTGTGTGTGTGATTACTGTGTGTGAGTGTGTGTGTGTTTCACACCTCTAAATATATCCGCATTTATGAACCCCGCACAAGGAACCTCACCTGTGGGAAAGTGCTTCGAATCCAAGTCGGAGTGAAGAGGAGAGGAGAGGAGAGGAGAGCAGATTGACATCGCCAGAGAGAGACAGAGAGAGAGAGACAGAGAGAGAGAGAGAGAAGACACGGGAGAAAGACAGGACCTTCTCGCCCAGAGGAGAGCAGAGCCATCATTAAATGAGTATAAACGAGCACTCTTTGCAGGCGCTCTCATGGAGGAAGCTGTACCTGAGTCGGGCTAAGCTGAAGGCTTCCAGCAGGACCTCAGCTCTGCTCTCCGGCTTCGCTATGGTGAGTCGGAATTCATTTCATATTGATTTTTAATAGTATTTTTTTCCCCAAAAAATTTTTTTTTTTTTAAAAAAAACAATACCCAGAGTGGGTGTTGGGGTAAAACTGACTGCAAACAGAGAGAGAGAGAGAGAGACAGACAGAGTTATCAGACACACACAGACAGAGACAGACAGACAGACAGACACACACAGACAGAGACAGACAGACAGACACACAGACAGACACAGACAGACAGACAGACACAGACAGACAGACACAGACAGACAGACACAGACAGACAGACACAGACAGACACAGACAGACAGACACAGACAGACAGACACACACACAGACAGACACAGACAGACAGACACAGACAGACACACACACAGACAGACACAGACACACACACAGACACAGTATGACATGTTACATGTTTAACAGGGCCGCACACTCAGGTTAAAGTCGGCATTTCATGTGATATTTCCCCCACACACACATGTGGTTTGGCGAAGAGCAAAAGCGATCAGTGTTTCGTTGTTCGTTTCCTTTCGCCCACACAATCACACAGTCACTACACGTTGCATTGTGTCTCGTGAAGCACTTCCCGAGACGTGAACGGGCGCTGTGTCACAAAAATGCAAGGGTTCTGCTTTGGCTTATTATTATTTATTATTATTTATTATTATTATTTATTATTATTAATGTTATTAATAGCTCAGACATTGTCAAAGTTGCCCACATCTCTTTGATCAGGGAATTAAAAGTGAGGAACCTTTATGTATCTGTTTAATCTGGAAGTGTTGTTAACGATTGTGAATGAATATTAATAATAATAATAATAATAATAATAAGCCCCCAAGCAACTCCCACCGTGGATCAATTATTCTTTGCAGAATGACTGATTTGTTTTGTTTTTGTTTTGATGTGAGTTGTTTTTGTGTCTGTGTGTATTGGGGGTGGGGGGGGAGAGAGGAAAACTGCAGTAAAGCACCATTTTTTTTACCCACACTTGTGTCTTGCACAGCTGATGCAGTAAAAATGACAAAAAAAAACCACACAACTCCCCACCACCAATAAATTACAGCCCAAGTCAGGACTTTGAACTCAGTCTCTCTGGGGTGTGCTGCGGTGTTGGAGGTGCTGTCCTTCAGATTAGACCGTAAACCCAGTGTCCATCTTATCGAACGAAACAATGATAAATTGGTCATTTTCAATCCACGACTGTCTGTGGGACGCTGCTGTGCGCAATTGGCCGCCGCGTTCGCCCACAAATATACAGTCAATTCACTTTACGGTATATTCTGTGAAGCGCTTTGGGTCGTCGAGAAGACGTGAAAAGCGCTATATCAAATGCAAGGATTATTATTATTATTATTTATCTGTCCGTTCAGATGGATGTTTACAGGTCCCATGGCACTGTTTGAAAAGAGAACGGTTTTCCCCCCCCCCAGTGACCGGGCCCACAGTAGAACATGTTACTATGATCACCTTAATTTCTCTTTACTCCTCTGCTCAGAAACACCTACGTCAGTAGGCGAGTAGTAATCGTATGGAACAGGCTCCCTGGGAAGTCGGTGGGAGCGGAAAGTGTCAATTCTTTCAAGAGCAAATTAGATAGATTTCGGTTAGGAAATAATATCTCGGGATACAGTAAAAAGTTTCGGATACGACATTGTCAAGCAACTGCCAGGGTTGGTGGAAGGCAAACTGGATGGACATTGGTTTTCTTTGGCCGAGAAAATTCTTGTGTTCTTCTACACAAGACTAGAAAGTGGGTGTTGCTTGATTGAGAGTGTGGAGATAAACCTGGTTCTCTCCCCGTTCTCGATGAACGTTACCACTGCATTTGCGGAGAGGATCGCTCCTCTCCAAGAGCGAAAACACATTAGGAGTGTCCTGCTCTTCTCTCTTAGATACCATATAATAATAATAATAATCCTTGCATTTTGATATGGCACCTTATCATGTTATTAAGTCGTCTCAAGGTGCTTCACAGAATACACTGTAAAGTGAATTGACTATTATTCCGTGGGCGAAACATGTAAACTTTGAGCTGTGAAAATAATGAAGGCGTGTCGTTTTGTATATTGCCTAGTTGACCTTTCTGGCATTGGGAAAGAAGCATTTGTTATTTCAGACTGTTACTGTTTCCTGCCTGTTGATGTGAGCTGTTTGTCTGATACCGTAACCATGGCCGTCAACTTCCAGATAAATGCATAGCTCACCTCCTGGCTCAGGATGGGCTTTTTTGTTTGGGTATAAACTGGTTGCCACATTTGCTTACAAAATGTGCTTCCCTGGAAAGTAACAATAATCCTTCATTTGAGCTAGCGCTTTGTCAAGTCTTCAAGACGTCTCAAAGCGCTTCACAGAACACACTGTAAAGTGAATTGACTGCGTATTTTGTGGGCGAAATGCAGCAGCCAATTGCGCACAGCAGCGTCCCACAAACAGTCGTGGATTAAGTGACCAAATTATTGTTATTTTTTTGAAGGAATTATTATCCCCAGAAAAGCAATCCGCCGTTCGACTAACAACCGGGTTCCTACTTACTGCGAGGTAAACAGAGGGGTTTGGAGTAAAGAAATTTGCCCAATGGTTCGCCCTGCCGGGAATCGAATTTAGGTCATCGAGCTTGCGAGGCGAGTGCTCTAACCACTAATCTACAGGACTCCACCTAGTTTGCCTGCAAAATATACTTTTGAGGTTTTTAAGGTGCCTTAGGAAACTGTCATCTTTAAGAAAACCTCAAAGGGTTTTTTATAGGCAAATCAGGTGGAGTCCTGAAATGTATTGGTTAGAGCACTCACCTTGCAAGCGAGAGTACCCAGGTTCGATTCCCAGCAGGCCAAAACGTTAGGGAAGTTTTTTTACTCCATACGCCTCTGTTTACTAAGCAGTAAATAGGAACCCGGTTATAGTCAATTGTCGGATTGCTTTCTATTGTAAAATAATCCCTTTACAACAAAAATAAGTTTAAAAAAATAATAATTTGGTCACTCAATTCACGACTGTTTGTGGAACACTGCTGCGTTTCGCCCACAAAAAATAGTCAGTTCACTTTACAATATATTCCATGAAGCGCATTGAGATGTCTCGAAGCAATCATTATTATTATTACACAATGCCCAAAAGAAAGTTACTTGGATGTAGAAAATCCAACTTGGTGCTGTGAAGTAAGACTAAAATTTATCAATTTTTTTTCATAGAGACTTAACTTTTAAATATTCCTGTGTTATGTGGTTAGTGGGTGGCGTGGGGGTAAAAGAGAGACATCAAACTCACTTTTTCCCCCCGGGTGATTAATTGAACGATTCAGTGATTTGTTCGCTATCCGCAAATTTCTATCCATGCTTAAATTGTTGCTTACAATACAATGAGTCCTCCTTCCAGCCACGAGTAGTTCTCACTAGCAGTAAGTAGGAACCCGGCTGTTAGTCGATTAGGGGATTGCTTTGTGGGGGTAATAAACCCTCCCACCCCCCAAAACAAACAAAATATTGGTTACTCGCTCCATGGCTGTTTGTGGGTCACTGCCGTGCGCAATTGACTGCTGTGTTTCATCCAAAAAATACAGCCAATTCACTTTACAGTATATTCAGTGAAGCTATGAGACGTCTCAACAACATGATAAGGCACTACATCAAATGCAAGGATTGTTATTATTGTTAAGGTGAGCTCAGGCCTGGGTGGGGGGTGGAAACTGATGGACAGTTGTTCCTTGGCTGCATCTCGAGTGAAATCAGAACTGTGTCAGCATCATTGTGGTGTTGCTGCACACACTCAGGTCACTGAAGCCTCACTCCAGTAAATTAATAACTTGCTATAAATCTATGGCTCCAAGTCATGAAGGGGCAATAGTGTTACCTATCACTATGTGCCAATTATAATGGCGAGGCAGCTACAGCCAGTGCCATCTAGTGGTGAGGGAGTTAAAATAACAACAGCAACAACGATTAGATTTACATAGAGCCTTTCAGGTCGGGAGGACATCCCAAGGCGCTGGACAGTGTACAGCATTTCAGACTCGAGCTGGGGTCGGGGGGGGGAGAAGGGAGGGGAGGGGAAGGGGGGTAGCCGATGGCATGGTCAAAGAGGAGGGTTTTGAGGCGGGACTTGAAGGAGGCTAAGGAGGGGCCGAGGCGGAGTGATTGGGGGATGGAATTCCAGAGGTTGGGGGCAGAGTGGTTGAAGGGTCTCCTGCCAATGGTGGGGCGGGGGACATGGAGCAGGCCGGAGCTGGCTGAGCGGAGAGAGCGGGCGGGTTGGTTGGGTGTTAGGAGGTCACAGAGGTAGGGTGGGGCGAGACCATGGAGGGCTTTGTAGGTGAGAACCAGGATCTTGAACTGGATCCTCTGCAGGATAGGGAGCCAATGGAGTCTGGCGAGAGTGGGGGAGATGGGGTCACGGAGTTTGGTGCGGGAGAGGACACAGGCTGCAGAGTTTTCGATTATCTGCAGCCTGTGGAGGGAGGAGTTGGGAAGGCCGATAAGCAGGGCATTTGCATAGTCGAGCCTGGAGGTGATGAAGGCATGAACAAGAGTTTCAGCGCCTGAGGGGTGAGGTAGTGGCAGAGTCGGGCAATGTTACGGAGGTGAGGGAAGGCAGAGCAGGTCATGGCTTGGATGTGGGGAAGAAAAGGGCCTCAGTCTTGTTCATATTCAACTGTAGGAAATTTGTCCTCATCCAGGACTTGATGTCCGACAGACAGTTGGTCAGGACAGCAGTGGTCCTGGAGTTGAGGGTGGAGGCAGAAAAATAGAGTTGGGTGTCATCCACATACATGTGGAAGTTGACCCCATGTCTGCAGATGATGTCACCAAGATATATGTATCTATATATGCATGTAGATATTAAAATAAATCGCTCATTTATAATAATATAATCCTTGCATTTGATAGAGTGCCTTATATCGTTGAGACACCTCAAAGCGCTTCACAGAATATACCAAAAAGTGAATTGACTGTATATTTTGTGGGCGAAACACGGCACCCAATTCCGCCCAGCAGCGTCCCACAAACAGTCGTGGATTGAGTGATCAAATTATTATTTTTTTTTTGAAGTTTAATTCAAAAAGGGATGTTGTTGCAGGGAATTGCAGCGAAACAGATCTATGAGTAACAGAGATTGTAGGGTGCCTGTTGGGGGGGAGGGTGGGGAGAGAGAGAGAGCACCATAAGCCATGTAAATCAATGTAGGATTAAAACCAACGGAACAGGAAATGAAGTTGCGTTTTTTTTATAGCGCCTTATCACGAGGAAACATCTCAAAGCGTTTTACATTCGTCATCAACTCTGAGTAGCGGTTTTGTAGATGTTTGCAACAGCCATTTTGTTTTATTGTACACAATAAGGTCAGTAAGCTGTAAGGCGATTGACCAACTTAGCCAGAGGATAAACCATCCAGGACACTGGGAGAAACTACCTTCTCTTTTCAAATAGTTCCGCAGAGTATTTTGACGCCCACATTGGTGAAATAGACACAGATGATACTACGGTTTAAGATCTGTGCTGAAGGAACAAGGTTGGGCACATCGCCTGTCTGAGGAGTCATCTCACAACAGCACACGCAGCTTATAATGTCAAGTGATCACAAGCTGGGCAAGAATTGGGAAACAATGTGGGGGGTGGGGAGAGAGAATGAAGAATTTCACTTGTGGGGGAGACCAAAACCAGGGGCCATCAATATAAAATGGTCACAAATAGATCAAATAGGGAAGTTAGAAGAAATTTCTTCACACAGAGAGTAGTGGGAATGTGGAACATGCTACCACAAGGAGTTGTTGAGGCAAATATCATAGATGCATTTAAGGGAAAGCTCGATAGGTGCATGAGGGAGAAAGGAATAGAAGCTTATGCTTGAAGGCTTAGTTGAGGAAGGGCAGGAGAAGGCTCACGTGGAGCATAAACACTGGAGTAGACCATTTCGGCCGAACCGCCTGTTTCTGTGCTGTATATTCTAATGTATTCTAGAAGGCACAAAAAAAACACTCTAATGCTCTAGCTACAATAATAATAATAATCCCTGCATTTGATATAGTGCCTTATCTCACTGTTGCGACGTTTCAAAGCGATTCACAGGATATACTGTGTATTTTGTGGGCGAAACGTGGCAGCCAATGGTGCACAGCAGCGTCCCACAAACAGTCGTGGATTGAGCGGCAATTTTTTTCCCCCCCCTCTGGAAGGATTATTACCCTCCGCCAACCCACTAACAGCCGGGTTCCTACTTACTGTTTAGTGTACGGAGGCGTGTGCGTGTGTGTGTGTGTATGGAGCAAGGAAATTTACCTAAGTTGTCGCTCGGTCGGGAATTGAACCCGGGTCCTCTCGCTCGCTCGCGTGCGAGCTAACCATCTCGCGACGGGGACTCCATGTGAGATGAGTGACTGACACGTGCGTGTGTTCCTCTTGACTGCAGGTGGCCATGGTGGAGGTGCAGTTGGATGGAAACCACCCTTACCCACAGGGCCTCCTGATAGCTTTCAGTGCCTGCACCACGGTGTTGGTCGCTGTCCACCTCTTTGCCCTGATGATCAGCACGTGTATCCTGCCCAACATTGAGGCGGTCAGCAACGTACACAACCTGAACTCAGTGCATGAGAGCCCGCACGAGCGCATGCACCGGCACATCGAGCTCGCCTGGGCCTTCTCCACCGTCATCGGGACCCTCCTCTTCCTGGCCGAGGTGGTCCTGCTCTGCTGGGTCAAGTTCCTGCCGCTGAAGAACACGCGCGCCAGCAACTCGTCCATCTCCCCGGGGGAGGCGGCCGCTATCACCTCCACCTCCATCATGGTGCCTTTCGGCCTCATCTTCATCATCTTCGCCGTTCACTTCTACCGCTCCCTGGTTAGTCACAAGACGGAGCGGGTGGAGCGGGAGTTGGACGTGCTCGCACAACTGCAAGACCAACTGGACCGAGGAGACACCATGCAGCCTCCTGTGTCTCATTACGCATGAGGCTGTTTTGTTTTTTTAACCGGCTACGGAATTGAGGGGGAAATTGGCTCCTTTTATTATTGGTGCAGTTTACAGCACTCGGTCTGTGCATGAAATGAACACCAGGACTGTTTTTGTTTTTCTTCGATACAAGAGAAGAAGCTTAAAAACTGATTGCTACGATTTTTCTCTTTTTTGCTTGGTTTTGAAAAGGGTTGTGGGGGGCGGGAGGATGGTCGGTGTTGATGGGACTGTGGCCAGTGAAAGGGGGGGATTTTTTTTTACTGTTCGTGTCTTCAGATTTCAAACCGTGACCCCCCCACCCCCACCCCAACCCCCACCTAAAGTTGGCGAAGTGTGCATGCATTTTACTCTCAGCTCTGTACAGGATTACACTGGATTGTTTCATTTTTTTTTGAACATTAAAGAGACTATTGTTTGAGCGTGACTGCGGGCGAGCAAGTTCAGTGTTCACATCAATCGAAACGACGGGGCAAAACCAATGGAAGAATTTGCTAAGCGAAGGAAGACCAAGGTCCACCGTCCTGGCAGTCGCATGACATGTTGCGTCCCAAACTTTATATTACATCCCGAGATATTATTTCCTAACAGAAAACTATCTCATTTGTTCTCAGATGAATCGATACTTTCTGCTTCCACCGTCTCCCAAGAGAACCTGTTCCATGTATTTATTGCTCGCTCGCCGATGTAGTGTTTTCAGCAGATTTGTTCAGAATTTACCCCAAGTATCACAAGAATCCACAAGGTTCCACAGTCCAGGTGTCTGTTGCATGTATTTCGAAGTCCCTTGACGTTCCTAATTGTAGCAGCCTCTCTCTCTCTCTCAATTTCCCCATCTTTGGGTGCTTTTTAAATCTTTATATATATATATAGTATATATATTGTGTTTGGCAAATGTTACTGTAAAAAAAAGTGCAACGGGTGCTTTTAGACTCTTCTTTAAAGGGAAGTGCTGGGAGTTGACTGGAAAATCCCAGTTCATAGCAACTGGAATGTTAACACAATTTCATTGCAGTTTCAGATTCTTTAATACACATAAAAAACACACCACACACAGGCTGTGACTGTTAATTATTGAACCGAACCTGAAATACCTCAGTTATTCCCAACAGTTCTGATCTCTGCAGTAAACTGAATTCTGCTAGTAGGTAGCACAGAATTCATTAATCTTCCTCAACCGATCACATAAAAATTTGCTAAGCGAAAGAAGGTCCATCCAGTTCGCCTTCCACCATAACAGTTGCATGTTACGTCCCAAACTATATACAGTATCCCGTGGAGTCCTGTAGCTCAGTGGTTAGAGCACTCGCTTTGCAGGTGAGAGACCTGAGTTCAATTCCTGGCGGGCGAAACCTTGGGCAAGTTTCCTTACTCCACACAGAGCCTAATAATAATCCCTCCAAAAAACAAAACAATAATAAATTGGTCATTTTCAATCCACGACTGTTTGTGGGACGCTCCTGTGCGCAATTCGCTGCCGCGTTCGCCCACAAATATACAGTCAATTCACTTTACAGAATATTCTGTGAAGCGCTTTGGGACGTCTAGAAGACGTGAAAAGCGCCATATCAAATGCAAGGATTATTATTATTATACATGATTTCCTACCAGAAATCTATATAATTGATTCTAAAAAGAATCAACACTCTCTGCTTCCTCTCTCGCTCTCTCTGTGGGGAGCCTTTTCCATATGTTTACGTTTACTTGCTCACTTTAAGCTTGAGCCCTGATACAAATTCTAGTTAGTTCTTTCTGCAGCAGCCAGTGTAAACTGATACTGTATTCAGACCTACATGGATACAGGCTTTTACTAAAGATTAAATTTCCCTGTAAGTAAAGTGCTAATCATTTGTAAGAGGAAACAAGGAAGGGGTTTGTGAAACCCATTTTTTTTTACATATCCAGTGTCAAATTCCCAGCCATCGCTTTAAAGGTACAACAACAAATCTCGAACAATTGAATGAATTGGTGTACATCACACAAGGTTGCATTTAGACTGGCAACCTGAAGGACTTCACAAGTGGTTTTAATCGATTGTGATCATCATCAACAACTGGGAATAAAGTGAATGTAAACTGGGTTTCCCACTGTATGTCCCCTGCCATTGTCCTGCATTCCTTGAAAGAAAAGGTTTGTTGAAAACCAGTTTGGAATGGGTTTACAGCATAGTGAGAATTAATCTCAGTGAACGAGAAGCAAAAATATGTGACTTAATCCATGTTTTTGGACATTGGACTATAAATCAATCAGAACCTTCAACGACATGGATCCACTACTGGCAGCATCCATGGAGAGAAGAAAATGAGTTAACATTTCAGGTCTATGACCTGTTGCCCATTCTGACGAAAGGTCATAAACCTGAAACGTTAATGTATTTTCCACTCTCCATGGATGCTGCCTGACCTGCTGCGTATTCCCAGCGACTTTTGTGTTTATACCAGATTTCCAGGATCTGCAGTACTTTGTCTTTTGGAGAAGGCATTGCTCACACATTGCTGAGAATGTTGATTATCGCAATCCAATTGAGGCACTGATAGGCAAAGTATCGTACAGTCACTTTGTAAAGAATTTTGGTGTCAGTAGCTAATTTGAGTACGATGTAAACAGAATGGTAGAAACTACCATGAGACCCATTGAGTCTCCTTCGCCTAATCCCAATACCCTTCTCTTTCCCCGCAATTACTTGCATTTGTGGATATCTCACACACATAAAAAACGAAAGACATATTGATAGCATGTCTCTATCCATTTCCACAAAGCTTGCACATCAACCCACATTCCACTACATTGGGGCCGACAAGCTCAAAAAACAGCTGTCCTGACTCGAGCCAACGCATGTTTAAGATCGCGTGATCTGCTTCTACCCAGTCTGTGGAAAGGAAATCTTCACTTTGGAGTCAACGTAATCGTGTTTAAAGATCACATGGCGCTTAAAATTCAGAACTTTTACCTGTCAGCCCTAAATGGAGTTGTTTTTTTTAATATCAGCACCCACCCCCCCCCCCACCTCAGCAAGATCACCTTTTGTGAAAATCTCAAAAACACCCAGCGAAACATGTGGTGGTTTGGCAGGTAGGTTTCTTTGACAACATGATTAATAAGTGAAATTAAACGTGGACAAGTCAGGACAAGGCATGGTTAGCTCACTTGCCAACTGCAAATCACCTCACGTAACAAACTGTCCCAGGTTCCCTACAGTCGGGCTCTCAAGTGCTCACTTAGTCCATTAGAACCATAGAATTGTACGGCACAGTGATTTATAGCCCACTTGGCCCATCGTGTCTAACAGACCGAATGCTTCCAGTCCCGTGTACCTGCCCTTACGCCATACCCCTGTAAATTGGCTCCTCTTTAGGTATTTATCCTGTTCTCTTTTGCAAGCTAATATGGAATGCGTCTCACCCAGTTCTCCAGCTGAGTGCACATTCCATAACCATAACTCCCCCCTGTATCCAAATACTTTGCTTCCATTTTATAAATGTTTTTAAATCTACAGCAACCATTCGCAAATATTTGCTCAAGTCAGGCTAACCTGGTAGATACAAAAGGTTGGCCAGTCAACCACTTTATTTTGACTGATCTGCAGCCTCTTGTCCGTTATATTCACAGCTCGGATGCAGTCTTGCAGGCGCAAACAGGAGAAGCAGCCTTCAATTTGGCCTAGAAGGAATCTTTAATAAGAATGATAATCCTTGCATTTCATATCGTGCCTTATCACATCGTTGAGACATCTCAAACCGCTTTACAGAATATACTGTAAAGTGGAGTGACTGTATGTTTCATGGGCAAAACGCAGCAGCCAATTGTGCACAGCAATCGTGGATTCAGTGACCAAATTTCTTTTTTGGAAGGGATTATTACCCCAAAAAATGTGATCTACCAATCTAATTGGTGTGTGGAGTAAGGAAACTTGCTTAAGGTTTCGCCCCGCCCAGGAACTGAATCCAGGTCCTTAGCAAGGCAAACGCGCTAAGCATTAGGCCATGGGACTCCTTTTCAGGGCAATCGGGGAATGGGCGATAAATGCTGGCACTTTCCGTGTCGCTCACATCCTAAGATGAACTTAAAAAGAAAGTGTAGAACGTGTGGGGCATTTTGCTTTCCAGTCTCTCAAGATAAACCACTTCATTCACACTCACTCCCTCCTCACCCTCCCCATTTCTGCACCTCCGCAAGCAAGCGTCAGCTGATGATCTCGAAGACTGATCTTGACATGAGAAACTATCACATGCACAAAATAAATTTACATTAAAATCCAGTAGTAACCCGCAATGCACATTCTGGGATCCCCAAGCTTTGGCTCTTGCCAACCTGCGCCTAATACTTTCCGGATTGGGTAGCCAGAGAGAGAGAGAGTGCGCATTCCATTCCAACAATCTATCTCTGGGATTTCCATGTGTAGGTGGGATGCATGGAATTCTCAGCTTGGTTTGGATACTCTTAAGCACGGTGATGGGTTTCCGTATGTGTCACACCCAGCTGACCAAATAAAAATTACAATTTAGGAGTGATCAGTCATTCACTCATCAGCCTTCACGACCCACCAGCCACTTAGAAAGGTCGGCCCAGCACTCTTTGTAAATTAATTAGAACTACATTTGTGTCATCCAGGAATGCAATTTATATGCTGCACATCATACTATAAACCCTTATTAAATAAATGATTTATACAAATGTTCCATTGCCCAAATCAGAGAAGTCTTTGGCACAATCATTTGAGAGATCAGTTTTTGGATTGATTCACACGTGGTAAGAGCACACCAAAAAAAATCAGGTGCTTAATGCAGGAAAGTCTGATGATGGGCCTCACTTGTGGACACACTTATTTTTCCATGGTTACCATGTAGGATTGATCGAACTTGGAAAGGCGAAATCTCTTAGACGTTCTCGTCTTCCACCTCCAGAAACATTGACTTAGCTTCCTCTAAAACTGCAGAGGCATCCACCATTTGGAGCTGAAGAAGAAAAGGAAACTATTATAATATTTGAAGGTCTCTCCTTACTTTCCCAGTGTTCCTGGCACCACAATTAGCCCCTTCTTTCCCTCACCCTCAAGTAAAAATTGGTCATTCACTTTGTGGCCATTTGTGGATGTGTAAATTGGCAGCCAACAGAATACATAGTTACTACACTTTACGGCAAATCTTGTGAAACGCTTTGCGACGTCCTTCCAATTGAGCTAAATAATAATAATCCTTGCATTTAATAAAGTGACTTATCACGTCATTGAGACATCCCAAAGCACTTCACAGGATATATTATAATGAAGTGTATTTTGTGGGTGAAACGAGGCAGCCAATTGTGCGCAGCAGTGTCCTACAAACAGTCGTGGATTGAGTGACAATTTTTTTTAAGGGATTCTTACATCTGGAAAGCGATCCGTCAATCGAATAACAACCAGGTTCCTACTTATGACTCGGTAAACAGAGGGGTAAGGAAATTTACCAGAATCCTTAACATCCTTAAAAGGCATTTGTATGTGGGAATAGACAGTGTATCATTTTCCAATAGAGATGGGAAATTTCCTGCCTTTGTAGGCAAACATTCATTAGGAAAGCTGTAATTAGCTGTATTCCTTTGGTTTGTTCCTTTGGCAAGAATTAAATTTAGGTTTCCTTCCTCACTCCCGAGTGGAAAAAAACGATTCACAAAAAGCAACCTCCATGATTTCTCTAATGGAATTATTCACTTTAATAACAATTCAAAAAAATTATTTGGTCGCTCAATCCACAACTGTTTGTGGGACACTGCTGTGTGCAATTTACTGCTGCATTTCGCCCACAAAAATACAGTCAATTCGCTTTACAATATATTCTGTGAAGCACTTATAGACGTCTTGAAGACCTGATAAGGCGCTATATCAAATGCAAGGATTATTATTAAGCTGCATATAAACATTGGCAAGGTGTCACAATTGCTATGGATAATATACTGAGCTGGACTGAGTCAGGGTCACCCAAACTCTCCACCCATCACTTCTGACTGTAGAGGAAAGTTATTTATGAGTTGATAAATATCTCCAGTGGCAGGTTTCATTTAGGTTACCCCATCCTTCATTGAAAGTTACTGTGTGAAGAAGGTAATGAAATCTGTGTCCTTCACCCCAAAAAGAGATACTTAAAAAACAAACCAATTAAATATCGAATGTGAGAAACTTGGATTTTTATCACATCTGTACTTTAACATCTCTACTTAAGCTCTTTTGAACGAATGACTTTGAATTTTATAATGTGGAAACATACCATTTCAGAGGAATGATTGAAAATACACAAAATAACAGTCAATCCATTTTACAGTATATTCTGTGAAGCACTTTAAGACGTCTCAATGACATGATAAGGGGCTATATCAAATGCAAGGATTATATGTAGTTGGACAATTTTTGTGCGCAAACGCAGGGGCCAATTTGCAAGTCTCTTTTTCGAACAGCTTCAAACAATCTTTTAATGTCCTCCTTCAGTGAAGACCAGACAGACGGGACCTCAGTTTAATGTCTCACCTGAACACATGTTAGAGGTACAAGTTACTAGACCAGCTCCACATACAGCAGCAGGCAGGTTGTCAGAAATCGAGGCGAGCTAATTCTATTGGCAATGGAATGAGTAAGAGCACAAAGGGTTTTGATGTGTAAGCATTTGGGAATCATCAGCTCATTGCCCTGATGTTAAACAGCCACACATTTTTGATGCAAAGTCCAACAGGACTTTGATTCTGACTCAGCAATCTCACGTATCAGCTTTGGCGATTCATTTTGACCCATATAAAGGCATGAAACAATTTGTGATTACGTGTATGGCCTATTCGAATAAGTTATTATTCGGGATAGGTATTGGACATAACAATGGAAACTAAACATTTACATCTGGTGTCAGCATTGAGAACGTCTAAACTTCAAGTGTAATATGGAGTCAAGCTTCTCCGGCTCTGTGAAAGACCACATAGGAAGAATGTCCAACTGACAGAATACGCACCACACACACACCCACCCACACACGCTTCATTCCGATTCGTCACGTCACATAGATTATCAAAATCAAGGACATCTCTTTCCTTGTTGAGACTACAAACCTATAACTTTGTGTTACAGCATATTCCATCCTGTCTCGTATTTTAGAACCCTTGGTAGAAACTTTGAAAAGTGCCTTTGGTAGAAACTTTGGAAAATGGAGTGAAGTGAAAAACCTTAATTATAATAATAATAATTCTATAAATCATTCCAAATTTGGGGCAAAATGCCACCTGGAGGAATTCTTCAAATGGATAAATAAAATTATTATATTCTACGAATGGTCACATTGGGAGAATAGCCAATAAAGTCAATCATCTACAGAGAGCCAATAAACTCTCATTGGTAAGACACCAAGTGTCACTGGGACAATAAGTAAAAGGGGATAACGGAAAAGGAGTGAGCGAGGAATGGTCAGTGACATTTGGCGGGGGCAATTATGGAGTTGGATTGGGGTGTTGTGTGTGTTGTACCTATGGTAACAACACAATGAGGAGACTGTTTGAACATCCGATTATTTAAACACACACACAGAGATTCCCAGTTATCAGAACACAGGGACTGGAGCCGCACCAGGGACGAGGAAAAACTAGGTCATACATGGACAACCAAGTGCCAACTTTGGAGCGAAGCTTGAGATCAGACAGCAAGGATAATCTGAAGAATAACCAAAAAAGGAGAAAAAGAGAAACCTTCGCTAAAGACTAAATGCGGCTTGAAATCTGCTTATAGGTAATAATGTATAGAGAGAGAATAGGCTATGGTGTATTTAAATAGTAAGATATTAATATCACAAGTTATGGAATTAATATGATAACTATGATTTAACATAACTTAAGAAATGCTAGACAAAAAAAGACCGAGGTTCATCTAGTTTGCCTTCCACCTTCCTATGTCCTAAACTATCTATGTATTAAATCCCATGTTATTTCCTGAAAGGAAACTAACTAATCTGTGTTTGAAAGAATCAACATTTCCTGCTTCAACGGTCTCCCTAGGGAGCCTGTTCCAAAGCTTCACTATTTGTTCACTGTAATAGTGTTTGCGTAGATTCTTTCTGAATTTACCCCCGTTCAATTGCAGGGCATATCCTCTGGTTTTACTATTCTGAACAAGTTGAAACAACCTGTCATGATCTATATTATCTTGCCCCTTTAGAATCTTAAATACAGCAATCATGTCGCCTCTCAATCTTTTTTCCCCAGCGTGAACATGCCCAATTTATTTAGTTGCTCCTCATTATCCAGTCCTTCCATTCTCTCAATCATCTTGGTGGCTCTCTTCCATATCTTCTCAATTTCTTCAATATCGTTTTTGTATCTGGGCAGACCCGAAGTGTACACAGTACTCTATATATAGCCTCACCAATGATTTATACAGTGGCAGGTTTACCCCTCTATTTTGGCTGCTATTGATCTTTTGATACATCCCAACATCTGGTTTGCTTTACTCACTACCACAGAGCATTGTTAGAAGAGCTTCAATTTATTGTCAATCAGGATCCCCAGGTCCATTTCATTTTCCAAACATATTATTTTTTCTACCTAGGTGAATAACTTCACACTTCCCCACATTAAATTCCATCTGCCACCTACTCGCCCACTCCCCTAGCCTACCTATATCCCATTGCAATCTTTTTGCATCATCCTCAGAGCTTACTCTCCCACCTACTTTAGTGTCATCCGCGAATTTAGATACGTTACATTCAATATCCTAGTCTAGATCATTGATGTAAATTGTAAATAGCTGAGGCCCAAGCACTGATCCCTGTGGCACTCCACTAGTCACATCCTACCAATTCAAGAATGACCCGTTTATCCCTACTCTCTGTTTTCTACCCGTTAGCCACTCTTCAATCCATGCTAATATGTTCCCATTAATCCTGTGGGTCTTAACCTTGTGCCATAGCCTTTTGTGTGGCACTCTGTCAAATGCCTTTTTAAAATCTAAATATACTACATCTACTGGTTCCCCCCTATCTAACCTGCTAGATACATCTTCAAAAAACTCTAAAAAATTAGTTAAGCGTGACTTCCCTTTTGTAAAGCCATGTTGACTCTGCCTAATCTTGTTATGGACTTGATTATAGCGCGCATTCAGATATAGCACCTTTAATTCTGACTTCAGGCTATTAGTCCTATTCACCAGTACCCTATCCCTGGGCTTCCTTTCCCCGCTTGACACACTTTGCTCATCTCCCTGGTTAATCTGCTCTCCCACTTCCATCAGTCCTAATTTTAATTGTGACGGATTACATGTGATTGAATTTACCCCCCCTTAGTAGTTTAAAGCCAAAATTTAAATCTGCCACCAATCTGCCCAATTCCCAAGTATGTTCAAATACTCCTGCAACCTATCTTGTTCAGCTTCACAATCTACCACCTTCATTAGCTTGGTGTCATAGGCAAACTTAGGCATTTTGCTTGCAACTCCTTGTTCCAGATCATTTATAAAAATATTGAACAAAAGAAGTCCCAAAACACACCCTTGGGGAACTCCACTGGTAACATTTTCCCAGTCTAATGACATTCCCTGCACCACCACCCTCTGGGTTCTTCCAGTCAACCAATTGTGTATCCATTGTAATATAGATATAGCGTACATAATATAGTGGCTTCAGATAAACCTCTGTACACAGATGTCTATCCAAGTTACATGCCACAGTACAGTGGCTAGCACAGCTCCTAACAGACAAGGAATTTGCTGCAGGATAAATTAATTTGTCGTCATCGTCATTTATTTTGCCAAACAGATGGTGGAATGTCTCAAACGTCCTCGCTTCCCAATCCTGACGTAAAAAAGGGGAGCACCTGTGGGATCGATTAAGCGGTGAAACGTAAACAGCCAACAGATATGTGGTGTACATGTGCCTCTGCCCCACACCCACCCTCCTGCTCCAGCTACTGCACTATTGCACTATTATCCATACCACCCCCTGCCTCTTTTGTTGATACCTGTGGTATAGGAAAGGAGGTTGGTTGAAGAGCATTTTCTCGACCAAAGTCGATCATTGTTCCACACTTTGCAATGTCCTCGTTCCACACACCACTGTAGAATTGGCCTTTCTCGAAGTAAAAAAACTTCCCTTGTCCGTGCTTCTTCCCATCTTTCCAGGAACCTTCGTAGCGGTTTTCGTTGGCTGTGTACAAAAAAGAGTGTGGGGAGGGTTGGACTGTTAAATTGCAGCACTTTTCCAAGGTGATGGGTTTCAGCAGATACATACACAGCAAGTAACTCCCAATGCTAAAAATATTGTTCATCCTAAGAACAGCCAAACTAAAGTTTTGTATCATTCCCTCCCTTGCCTCCTTCAAGGCGTGTCTCAAGACCCTGCTCTTTGACCACGCTTTTGGTCACCCTCCTACCCCCATCCTCCCTGCCCTCCAACTTTCCTGATCCCAACCCACAGCTCAGGTTCAAATCTCTGATTGTCCAGCGCATTGAGACATGCTCCTGAAGCGAAAGACGGTGTGTAAATGTAATTTGTTGTTGTTGTTGATATTTGTCCTGTTGCAAAGTTAGAAAATACTGCTCAGTTTGTTTAGCTGTAGGAAACGCTGTACAAAACACAACTCACGTAGGCGAAGCATCCCATAACCGTTGGGCTTGTCATTGAGCCACTCTCCTTCGTACACACTGCAGTCTGTGAAATACATCCTCCCCCAACCACTTTTCTTCCCATTGAACCAGTAGCCCTCGAAAAGTTCTTCATCCGAACTGAAGTTTGTTCCAAAACCCTGGAGGAAAAATTGACAACAACTCTATCCTCACAGGATCACAACCCTCTATATCAAGAAATGTTTCTGATCTCATTTCTAAACATTCCCCCTTCCGCCTCTCCCTGGACACGAAGTGTTACCTGTGATGTAAAAATAGCTTGGTTAATCTGACAGCTACCCGGGGAGCAAAGCATTATTTCCCCGGCTCTTCCACACTGCCAACTCTCATTTTCCTGGCAATTTATTACCCCGGCAAATAATTGTCTGCTGACGCTTAATAATAATAATAATAATAATCCTTGCATTTGATATAGCGCTTTTCACGTCGGGAGGACGTCCCAAAGCGCTTCACAGAACACACTGTAAAGTGAATTGACTGTATATTTGTGGGCGAACGCGGCAGCCAATTGCGCACAGCAATGTCCCACAAACAGTCGTAGATTGAAAATGACCAATTTATTATTGTTTTTGGTTTTGGAGGGATTATTATTAGGCGTCTGTGTCTATCCCCTTCTCCCCGTTGCTCGTTTGTGAAAGTGCATATGTAGAGTAAATCCTCTACTCTCCAAGTATTAATCCTCCCATCTATCTATCTATCTCCCTTTTCAGCCTCCCAATCAATTCTCCTTCATCATTGCTACAAGTCATTACCCAATCTGCTAGGATCCATGCCAGCCATCAGTCTCCACTCACCTGTCTCTTCCCATGTTTCCATTCTCCTGAATATACTTTTTTGTATTCCCCGGTTGCTGGATCTGGAATACTGTATGTTCCAAAGCCATTTCTCTTCCCATTCTCCCAATCGCCATCGTATCTGGCTCCATTAACTTTCCAGATTTGGGTTCCCTTTCCTGTCGAGATCAAGTGACAAATGAACAGAGCAAGGGCAAGATATTTTAATACTTGACCGTTCACAATCTCTTGCTGCAGCTGAGCTGTAACATAAACTGTGGTCAGAATGGAACCTAAATATAGTAAATACTTGCACTTGATATGGTGCTTTATCATTTCAAAACATCTCAAAGCGCCGCACTTGACATTGAAGGGGTTTTGAGACGTTTTGATTTGACAAGGTTCTAGGAAAATGCTCTCTCTTTTACTGTGATGAATTGCTTTTTACCAATTTGTGCGCAGTGAGGTCCCACAAACCTTGAAGTGAATAACCAAATTATCGGAACCTGGGTTTAAGGTCTCGTCCGAAGAATGGCAGCACCGATAACACAACACTCCCTTTAGTATTGTGCTGGAGCTTCTGCCTATACTGAGACTCACGTCCCTGATGCGGGGGCTTCAAACTCAAACCTCTGAACCGCAGGCGAGACTGCTACCAAACACACCAACCTGACGATTAAAAAATAAATATATGTTTTCATTGTAACCAATTTAAAACTTTTGAGAGTTTTTTTGATCATTTGTATTTTTGTTCAAGAAGAAAAAGCAGAATGAGAAGCCTTGAGAAGAAAATTGAACGGGTATGGGGGGGGGGGGGGAGATAAAGCACTCAGGAGCCCCCTCCATAGGATTTATAGCTCCAATGCACCATGTTCCTCAAATCACTGTGTTGCTCGTGTGCTGAGAATTGGCACAGAATTAAAGTGGGTGTTCAAAATAATGCAAGAGACTTTCTGCCCGGGTCAACTAACTGGTTTCGCCCAAAGCGTTCACTTCTTATTGTTGCCATTTTAACCCTTTGTTATCTCACTTTCGATGAGCTTATAATATATAATATAATAATATCATCCTTGCATTTGAATACAGGGCCTTCATCACGTCGTTAAGACATCTCAAAGCACTTCACAGAATATACTGTAAAGTGGAGTGACGGTGTAATTTATGAGCGCTTAATCTGTAGATACTTTTTGCCGGGTTGATGACAAACAGATTTCACTTTCGCTCCTCCTCTCTCATCAAGAAGGCGCAGACTTGGTGCAGGGCCGCCGATTCACAGGTACCAGTCGTTAAGTCTGCTGCCCCCCCCCCCCACCCCCATAAACCTGCCATTCTCTGTGCATTAGCCTGGGACACCGAGTGTTGGTAAGATATTCAATATTATTCAGCATGATCCAGAATGAGACAGGCCAATTCTCCAATTTCTACAACAGCCAAGTGACAACATACCATGGAACAAACCTGGGAACACCAGGCCTGGCTATCTATATCTCTCTCTCTCCCTCTCTCTCTCTCTCTCTCAGGCGATGTCTTTGGCATGCAGACACGCTGCCAAGTTTCCCTAACTTTTTCTGCAGATAAGGCAGACTTGGCGTGAAGACGAGCGCAAAGGTCGCCCATCGTTGGTCTGATATTCCGCTTGGGAGCCACTCTTTTTTTAACTGCAGTTGATTATAATCGGGTGCATTTCAATTGTGATACTTAGCCCAAGTAACACCGTAACGGGATTTTTAGTCTGGGCTTTAAGAGCTTAAGAGCTAACGTCCCTAAAGTTAGGGAAACTTAGAAGCAGGTCTTGTAAATACAGTACTCGTTTATCATTAGTAAGTGAGAGTAGTCACCCTCCACATCTGGGTAACTCCCCTTTTTTGGGAGGTGTGGGGGAGAAATCAAAGGAGTGGGGGGGGAGAAGTCAAGTGGGGGGGGGGAGGGAATAAGGGGGAAGGATGAACAAAGGCGGTAAAAAGGAGGAAAAAAAGAAAAAAATTGTTTTAGAAACATTAGGGGAAATGGGGAGAGAGAAATGTGGCAGATGGAGGGGAGAGAAGGAGGGGAGAGAAGGAGGGGAAAGGGTAAGGTTGGAAAAGGGTAGAAAGGGAACAGGGGAACAGGAGGAAAATGGGGGAGAAGAGAGGGGGAAATGGGGGGTAGAAGAGAGGGGGAAATGGGGGGAGAAGAGAGGGGGAAATGGGGGGGAGAAGAGAGGGGGAAATGGGGGGAGAAGAGAGGGGGAAATGGGGGGGAGAAGAGAGGGGGAAATGGGGGGTAGAAGAGAGGGGAAATGGGGGGGAGAAGAGAGGGGGAAATGGGGGGGAGAAGAGAGGGGGAAATGGGGGGGAGAAGAGAGGGGGAAATGGGGGGGAGAAGAGAGGGGGAAATGGGGGGGAGAAGAGAGGGAGAAATGGGGGGTAGAAGGGGAAATGGGGGGAGAAGAGAGGGGGGAAATGGGGGAGAAGAGAGGGGGAAATGGGGGAGGGGGGGGGGAGAAGAGGAGAAAAAGGGAAAGGGGAAAAGAAGGGATGGAGGCCCCGACCCACCGTGTTTCTTGTTGTCCCGCCATTCCCCCGTGTACTCGTCGCCGTTGACCGAGTAGACGGTGCGTTTGAGGCCGTTCTTCTGCGCCTTTCGGTCCCACTCCCTCCACAGGGTCTGCGGGTTGGTGCGAGGCCTGAGGAAAGGCATGGTCTGCGGCTCCGACCGGTTGGCCCACCCCCCCACCCCCCAAAAAAAAAAGCGAGTGTACACGACGAAAGATTACTGCATGTCCTGCCCGCCCTGCCACTAATAGTCTTGAAGTAACAAAGCCCCTTTTTGCACCAGTAATTTTGTACCAACAATCCCAGGCCTGACTGACGCCACCGAGGCGCTAGGCCGCGTCGCCATGGCAACGGGATGCGACCTGGTGGGAGGCGCCTGAGTTGGCGGCGTTTAACCCTTAACTCCAGATTCGGTCCCTTTATCATCACACACACTACACACACACGGTTGAAGAGCGAGGTCTTCAAGGCCGGCCTGAAGACGGAGAAGGAGTGGGGCGGGGAGTGGGGGTGGGGGGGTGCAAGGTGGAGGGATTGAGCGAGAGCGTTCCTGAGTTTCGGGGCCGTAGTGGCGGACAGCGCGGCCACCGACGGCGCCTCTGTCGTGTCCATCGCACTTTAATAATAATAATAATAATAATCCTTGCATTTGATATAGCGCTTTTCACGTCGGGAGGACGTCCCAAAGCGCTTCACAGAACACACTGTAAAGTGAATTGACTGTATATTTGTGGGCGAACGCGGCAGCCAATTGCGCACAGCAATGTCCCACAACCAGTCGTAGATTGAAAATGACCAATTTATTATTGTTTTTGGTTTTGGAGGGATTATTATTAGGGCTGTGTGTGGAGTAAGGAAACTTGCCCAAGGTTTCGCCCTTTGCCTGGAATTGAACTCAGGTCTCTCGCTTGCAAAGCGAGTGCTCTAACCACTGAGCTACAGGACTCCACTTTGGACTCTTGTTCGGAATAATAATAGCAATAATAATAACCCTCGCATTTGATATAGCGCTTCTTCACGTCGGGAGGACGTCTCAAAGGGCTTCACGGAATACACTGTACAGCGAGTTGGCTGTATGTTTGCGGGCGAACGCGGCAGCCACTGGCGCACAGCAGTATCCCACAAAGAGTCGTAGATTGAAAATGACCAATTTATTATTGTTTTGGAGGGATTATTATTAGGGCTGTGTGGGGAGTAAGGAAACTTGCCCAAGGTTTCGCCCTGACCTGCCTGGATTTCAACTCAGGTCTCTCGCTTGCAAAGCGAGTGCTCTGACCGCTGAGCTACAGGACTCCACGTTTGCCTCGGGACGCCGCCGCAGCTCTTTGGGATGTCCGCCGACTTGAAAGGCGCTATATGAATGCAATTTGTGTTGTTTGAGCTCCCAGTCGGGGGGGGACTTTGGGCTCACAGTCCAGGCTGACGCTCCGTCACTGTACTGGGCCTGCGCGTGTGTGCGTGTGTGTGTGTGGGCGCACATTCTGGTGGAAGGAAAAGGAAACTCTTCGCACGGAGGGTTGTCGAGCCATGGAGCCGGCAACAATTGGGAGGTTTCAACAACAACAACAACAACAAGATTCCATTTATTGAGCGCCTTTCACGTCGGGAGGACGTCCCAAGGCGCTAAAAGGGAGCTCTGACAGATAGTTGGGACCGTAAAACGAGGGGCATTAAGGGGAACAAGGGTAGGGACGGGATTACAAGGTCTGCCACGATACGACGACTTCCATTTTCACGGTGCCTTTCCCACAGGGCAGCGCCCTCGAGCGCTAATCTGATTGACCGGCAGAGCGGGCTCGAAAGGGCAGAGTGGCCTCCTCCTGGGCCCGTGGGTGAAAAAAGGGGGGAAGCGTTGCCCGAGAAAAATTCCAACGGGCGGAAGCGGGGAGAAGGGGAAGCGGTGAAGAGGAAAAAGGAGGGTGGGAGGTTGTGGGTGGGGGGTGGGTGGTGGTGGGGGGGGGGGGAAGAAAGAAGATTAGGAAGAGGGGGGGGGGAAAAAAAAGGGGGAACGCCCCCCACTCGGAAACTCTCCAGTTGCAGCAACTGTGAGGAGGGGTTCGTGTCTGTACGCCGGTGACGTCAGAGAGGGAGGAGCGAGAGGGGAGGCGCATGCGCGACTGCTCAGCCGGCGCGGGCGGTGGGGGGGGGGTGGGAGGCGGAGCGTGGAAGAGTGCGCATGTGCGGCGGCTGCGGGGTGTGGTCGTGGGGGGGACGACGTGGGGGACGACGGGAGGCCAAGCGGAGCGGGGACTGCGCGCATGCGCGTGCGGCCCGACGGAGCCCGGACAATGTCAGGGGCGCGGGCCGAGGCTGAGTGGCAAGAACTGGAGCAGGAGTTCAAACAGCTGCAGGTAAATGGGTTCCGAGGGCGGGCGGGCGAGGGGGGGGTGGGGGGTCAGAAGAGAGGCAGAGACCCCCACCCACCCAACCAACCAACCAACCACCCCTCCCCTCCTCCTCCTCACACTCCCGCCCGTCCGCCCGCCCTGAGGCGTCGGGGTCTCCAGGGGTGGGAGTGAGGCTTTGTCTTGGGGAGCCCTGCAGGTAGGCCTCACGCCCGCCCCCCCCCCTCCCTCCCTCCATTACTCATCGACTCCCCTCGAGAGAGAGAGAGAGAGAGGATGGGAGAGAGCGGGGTCCACCGTTGACTGCTGGGCTTCGCACAGACAGACAGTCAAGACAGACAGACAGACAGACAGACAGAGAGAGAGAGAATATTCCTTGCATTTGATATAGTGGTTTCTCAGGTCGTTGAGACGTCCGTCTTGAAGCGCTTCACGGAGTTTGACTGTAAAGTAACGTTGACTGTGTGTTTTGTGGACGGAGCGCGGCCGCCGATCGTGCGCAGCAGTGTCCCAGAAACGGCCTCGGATGGGATTGGGTGACCACATTGTTATAAAAAAAATTTGGAGGTCTTATTACCCCCGGAAAGGGATTCGCCAATCGACTTTCTGACAACCGTGTTCCTACTTATTGCGAGGTAAACAGGCGTGCGGAGTAAGGAAACTTACCCAAGTTTTACCCTGACCGGGAATCAAAACGTCTTCAGTCGCTGTGTGTAATTACTGGCCTTTTGTTACAGGAAACACACAAGGTGTACAGACAAAAACTCGATGAACTCACCAACCTCCAGACTATATGCAACAGCTCCATAAATAAACAGAAAAAGAGGATAAAGGATCTGGCCTTCAGTCTCCAAAAGTAAGAAGTTTCCCCGCACAAAGCTGTTATTCATTTCGTCTCTTGAATCGCTTTGTAAGAAGTGAGAAATTGTAGCGCCCGGCTCGGGTTCAAACATGCAGCCTTCTGCTTCTGTATGGTCCAATGTTGCATTAGACGGTCTGTTTAATCCCTAACCAGCAGGAGAAAACCATAAGAAGTACTCATTATAACACAGTATAATTCCCCTTCAAGTTTAATCCACAAAGTTCTGTTACCCCATGTTTTTTTCCTACAGTGCACTGGCCCAACAACTGAAACGTGGAAGAATTATGATAATTGTATTTAGAAGTACTTAATTGTGTTCTGTAGAAGTATTTTACAGTACTTAGCCGTCCAGAGGATCGGTGTGTGTGAATGCCATAATTTTCATGGGTGATATTGATCTGTTACCATGTTCGGTGTGTGATCTTCTGTAACATGGATGGAGACTCAAGCAGTGATCGAGGCTCCATTCTATTAAGTTTAACCTTATTCGCCTAAAGTATGCAAAAATATCACCTATTGATTGTCGCTGTATAGGGTAATTGTTTGGTCATCAGTGCAAAAGGGTTAAGACTTCTTTTTAACTGCAGGTACAAACGCACTGCCAATGCAGATGAAGCCCAGGTTATACAGGAAATTAATAATAACATTAAAGAGAGGCAAAATGTTTTCTTCGATATGGAGGCTTTCTTGCCCAAGAAGAATGGGTAAGTTCTTTTTCCAGTTCTTAAAAAAAATTAAATACATATATAGTGCAGTGGTTAGAGCGCTCGCCTCACAAATGAGAGTGCCAGGGTTTGATTCCCGGGCGGGGTGAAACCTTAGGCAAGTTTCCTTATTTCACATGCTTCTTATTTACCAAGCAGTAAGTAGGAACTCGATTGGCAGATTGCTTTCCAGTGGTAATAATCCCTCAAAAATTGGTTTGAATCACTCCATGAATGTTTGTGGAATGTTTGTGCTGTGCGCAATTGGCATCTGCGTTTCGCCTACAAAATACACAATCGAGTCACAGTCAATATTTACTGCATTGAGACGTCTCAAAGGCGAGATAAGGCGCTATATCAAATTCAAGGATTATTAGAATAAATATATATGTGTGTGTGTGTGCGTGGCTACTATTGATGACATTCTCCTTGGTATGCAATTATCTGGAACAATGCGCACCATGTTCCAGGTCAGGCTGTGCCTATTTTTTTGTTCCAAATGTCCAGCTTTGATCTTATCAATAAAGGGACTCGTAATGCGACAGACCATGTGTGTTGTGTTCATGTTATCTGTGGAGCCGCTGTGTTTCAATGAGCTTTTCCTTCTCTTGTTCCTTTTAGGTTGTACTTGAACCTGGTGCTTGGAAATGTGAATGTAACTCTTCTCAGCAAACAGGCCAAGTAATTTCAATTTTAGCTTTTAGTCACCATTTGACGGTTGCGTCTGGGGAGAAGGAGACCGTTTCCGCGCTGCTGCTGCTGCCTGTTTGTTTTTCCCACTAGTCATCCTTTTTATTATTAATCCCTCTTCCCAGTTCTTTTGCCCTGTGTCGCTCGATATTTTTAGTGCTTGTGAGCATTCAAGCGCTCTGGGATGCTACCCTGCTTGAGGGGCACTATATAAATGCTGATTTGTTGTTGATTTTGTTGATCCTGCCTCCATAAACTATTTGCATTAATGAATCACACACCCCACAACAACCCACTGAGTGAAAAAAAAATCCTTCTGACCTGAACAATTTTTTTTTCCTTTTTACCCTGGTAGCACTCTTGCCTTGTGAGTCAGAAGGTTGAGATTTCAAGTCCCACTTCAGGCTTTGAACTTGTATGACCCTTCAATGCTGCGCTGAGAGTGCTGCTTTCTCGAAAATGCCTACCTTTGGATGAGACTTTTAAGATGAGGTCCCCCCTGTGCCTGTTCAGGTGGATGTTAAAGATCCCATGGCACTATTCAAAAGCACAAGGGGGAGTTTCTCCTCGTGTTCTGGTCCCCCCCCCCCCCCCCGAGAAAAAAATGGTTATTCACATCCTGGCGGTTTGTGGGACATTGTGCCTCCAAATACAGTCTCTAAACTTTACAGTAAATTCTGTGAAGTGCTTTGAGATGTCCCCCTGACACTATTTCAAGCGCAAGGTTTTTTTTTCTTTATTACTCATGGCTTGCAGTGATTTTTGTTCACACCAGTTTTCTGCCTCATCGTAAGATACAAAGGCACCTTGTTGTTACTTTATTAAATGAGAGTGGGGTAATGCATGAATACAGCTCTCTTCAACTCTGTTTTGCAGGTTTGCCTACAAAGATGAGTATGAAAAATTCAAGCTTTATCTGACCATTATTTTGTTGCTCGGTGCTATAGCCTGCGTGTTCCTGCTAAACAGGTGATGCTTTTATTTTCTAGCTGCATTTTTTACTGCATTACACAAAATAAATAACCATATACTGATAAATAGTATATATTATATAATACCGGCAGTAATAATCCCTTTTTTAAAAAAAAAGTGGTTGCTCAATCCATGACTGTTTGCCGGACGCTGCTGCGCGCAATTGGCTGCCGGGTTTCCCCCACAAAGTATAATGTCAATTCACTTTTTACATTACATTCTGTGAAGCGCTTTGAACCAACTCGAAGACGTGATAAGGTGCTATATCAGATTCAAGGATGATAGATAGTTCCCCACAAAATACAGGCGGTTTATCAAACGCAAGGATCATCATTATTGTAATACTTGTTTCACTGAACAGCTTGCAGTGACTGCTCTTAGCCACTAGGAGGTGCAGGAGGGAAGCTTGCCACCTGGACACAGCCACGAGGCGGTGTAGTGCAGTACTTTCTGTGGCTACTGTTAGCCACTGTGAGGTGCAGTAGAGCCACTCGTGGTGACTTCTCTCACACGCTGGGGAACCTGACCGAAACTTGATTGTTTGCAACACCTGATAATGTTTGCTGGCTGACAGGAAAGTAATAAAACACAAGGTCATTGGTAGCTTTCTGCCCCGGGGGTCAAAGACTGTATGTGGTAGATTTGTAACAGGGAATTTCCTCTTGTTTTGTTTAATCAATAAAGGGAATTGACAAGCAAGACAGCTGATAACACTTCACTCTGGTGAGATCAGAAAACATTTTTGTTAACTCAGGAGGATTATGAGTGTGTGTGGAACGCGCTGACTGCCCTAGAAAGCCAAAGAGACATACTCATCAGGATGTTTAAAGGGTTGACGGATAGAGAGAGTGAAAGAAAGGCAGGGGAGAAAGAGAGAGATGAAGGAGATACTTAGGAAATACGAGTATAAAGTGTTTTGGAGAAAAGGTGAGCGAATGGGATATCACAATCTAGTAAACTGGAGGAACAGGCTGGTTGGGCGGAATGGCCTCCTCCCATTTCTATGATGCAACGGCTCCTTTTTAATGAGCATTTGCCTTGCCTTTCTTCACCAGGGTGATTGACGAAATCTTCAACTTCCTGCTGGTTTGGTATTACTGCACACTGACGATAAGGGAGAGTATTCTCATCAGCAATGGATCCAGGTAACCGGGCACTTGGACTGGTTTTGCTCATTTCCCCCCCCCCCATCTCCCCTTTCTTACCTCAAAAAGGAGAAAGAGAAAAAGAGGAGCAGTGTGGAGGGAGTGGGAAGAGAAGAACTCATTGTGTGTAAATCACTTCTGTCAAACCTGTGGCTTAAATGTGGATTTTTGCGATGGGGAAATGCAAACTAGTGACTAACTGCAGCCACTGAAGAACCCAACATTCTTCTGTTCCAACCCGCTTCCCTGTATCAATGGTGGTCTTCAGCTGAACCCTGACATTTTATGTGGCACTTCTTTCCTTGCTTAACGTGTCAAATTGTTTGCGGTCAGGCCAGCGTGCACGTGCCCCCCACCACACACCCCAACAATAATCTAGTTTCACTTCTCAGAGCAGGCCTGTAACCTGTCTTTGAAAGGCAGGAAGCATGAAGTGTGTTTTTGACACTTTAAATGGGATGTTAAGCACGATCTCTAGACCATTGCTGCACATCTTAAAAGGTTTAATCTATGACGTCTATGAGTTTTAAGTAACTAAAAACCAGCTGTGTATGCCCTTTTTTGGAAGATCATCTGAGTAGAAAGGCACTTCAGGAGCCTGCCAGCACTTTCTCTGTAGACAAAAGGCAAAACACTGCAGATGTGGAAATCTGAAATAAAAACAAAAGTCGCTGGAAACACTTAGCAGGTCAGGCGGCATCTATGGAGAGAGGAAAGTGGGTTGACTTTGAATGAATTCTCTGTAACGTTGTTTTGACCGAGCTCTTTAAAAGTGCTGACATATAGGGAGAAAGATTGCGATGTGCCTTTGCTAAATCGCAGGGAGACCCTATTATGAACTGAATTTCCCATCCATAAACTTGTACAAACTACGATCGTTCCATCTTTAATCTGTTGTGATTTTGGTACAAAGGAGATACCAAGCATCTCTGTTGCACAGTATAATCCATTGTTCTGAAGAACAACAACATCAAGATTACATTTGTATAGCGCCTTTCACGTCGGGAGGACGTCCCAATGGCTTAAAACATCCATCAGGTGTGTTAGGCTTTATATCACCGACCGGCTATGAAAGTAATAACATGTCCCATGAATTCCATCCATTGTCAGTCTGAGCATTAATCTCTCGCAGCAGCTGGATTGCCACAACTTCTTGTGCTGGATCATGATGTTTACGCTGTGTTGGAGCTTTTCAGCACAGACGGAATATTAATTTTCGGGCAAGCCAAGCGAGCGACTCCTTTAAAATGGTGAATTTTCCCTCGGACCCATGAGTTTTCTGCTCGTTTTACGTTTGACCTCATTTGGGTGTCAGCCTGGCTGGCAGCACCCTCGCCTCTGAGCCAGAAAAGGTTATGGGTTCAAGCCCCACATCAGCACTTTGTACTCTCACGGTGGCAAAATGACACCATGATTACACTCTATAGTACATCACATGAAGTGTTTTGGAGACGTCCACCTGAAGTGAAGAACACTGGATCGAATGTAACGATTGTTCTTATTTCTTTGCTCCTCTCTAGGATCAAGGGCTGGTGGGTGTCCCACCATTACGTGTCCACGTTTCTCTCTGGGGTGATGTTAACGTGGTAAGTTCCAGACTCAGCCCAATGACTGAGCTCAGGGGGCTCAATGCTTGGGTCGTCCAGAGAGGTGATCTCACCCATAAGCCTTCTTTGGGCACAATATCGGGCAGGTTCCCGTATTGGGGGGCAGTCTAGGGACGCTCTGGTGTGATTTTCCTTGCCCGCACGCACCCTCTCCTCCCCACACCTCAGTGGGTAAGAGGCCTGCTGAGTAAGCTAGTTTGTGCTTGACCCGACATGGAGTGGATGCCTGGTACTTGGGAGTCTGTATCCAGGCTCTGGCTGTTTCTTCGTTGGGGAGAGGGGGAGGTTTTAAAATTTCTCGGTGTGTTTTTATCAACTGCTGTAAAAATGGCCAATTTTACAAGGATTCCGATGTAGTGTGGATTGACAGCCAAGGCGCCAACATTGGGTTTGGCAGTCGTTGATAGTCATACGGGCACTTGTTCTGAACCCTCCTCCTCTTGTTTTGAAGGCCGGACGGGCTGATGTATCAGATGTTTCGCAGTCAGTTCCTGGCGTTTTCCATTTATCAAAGTAAGTAATTTGTTTTGGCACCTTTGGAACTCGATCCTTCCGCCTCGCCCCCACTCCCCCTCCCTGCTTCCCCATTTTCAGGTTGCGCCTGAAGACCTTCCTCTTCGGCCGTGCCTACGGTCACCTCCCCCCCCCCCCCCCCCCCCCACTCCCCGCGCTTGATGTCAGGCTCTGCCACTGCTACCTTGCGTAAGTTTTAACATCTCATCCAAAGGGACGGCGCCTCCGACAACGATGACCCCAGTGGTGACCCCAACACTGCACTGGAGCATCAGCTTAGACTGTGGCATCGAGCCCCCGACCATGGCTCCGATGCCACAACCTTCTGCTGAGAGCCAACTTTTGGGGGGATGGGAGGGAAGGAGGTGGGGGCAGGAAATGGATTTTGATCCGACGTTGCTAACTAAACACCGTCTCTTTCCCTTCAGGTTGTGTACAGTTCCTGCAGTATTATTACCAAAGTGGTTGTCTGTATAGATTACGGGCTCTAGGGGAGAGGAATCACATGGACCTCACAGTAGGTGGGTGACGTGCACTTTAGCGTCTCTCGTCTCTTTCGCTGCTACTCAACAGATCACACCCCATTCTCTTCTCTCATGTGTCCTCGCCACATTGTTCAATGCCCTTATTCATCCCATGTATCTTCCCTCTCAAGGATCTCAGTTGATTCAGCCTGCATTGCCCTCTGCGCACAGTGCCTTCCTTTTATAGATAAAGAAGAATGCCTGTAGTCTTAACCACCCCCCTCCCTGCCCTCCAACCTTCCGGATCCCAACCCCCAGCTCAGGTGCAATCTTTTGACTATCAGCACATTTGGGACGTTCTCCCAACGTGAAACTACGCAGTGTAAATTAATTTGTTGTTGGCTGTTTGTCATTTCAGAGGGCTTCCAGTCATGGATGTGGAGAGGCTTAACGTTCCTGCTTCCCTTTTTGTTCTTTGGCCACGTGAGTTAACAATAAGAACAATCTCCCTTGCATTTCACACAGCTCCTGTAAACACCTTTGAAAGAGCCAGCACAATGGCCCGACCGGCCTCCTTCTGTACTGTAGGATTCTATGATTCTAACTCCAGATTATTACTAGCAAAAGGGGAGATGGGAACAAGGTATTTTTAATGTATTGGTGCGCACATATTAAGATGTGGAACGTGTAGCCAGGTGTGACATGTATGAGGTGGGTGTGGACTGGAGTAGACTGGTCCAGCGCGGAAACAAGCCCAGGTCTAATGAGCCGAAAGACCCTTTGTGGTTGTAGGCAGTAGAGCAGTACATAACACGGAGCTTGCAAACCTGGTTTCCCCCTGTTATCTCGCCACCTCGGTCTTTAACAAAATGCTGTTACTCACACACACAAACACACCATCTGTCTGAGTTTGTTTTTGTTCTCCTCGTTGCAGTTCTGGCAGTTGTATAATTCAGTCACACTGTTTGGACTCTCTCGGCATGAGCGGTGCAAAGAATGGCAAGTGAGTGGGGCTTCGTTTTGCAATGCGCCTTCCCCCCCCCCCCCCCCCCAGTTGTCGTCACATGTTTATCATGCAGCAGTCGCTAAAAACAGGACCTTTTCATTGTTTATTACCATAGTAATAGCCTCCAATGTCGAAAGGTTAATTGCGGTAAAGTGTATTTGTTAGGCGATCGCGACTTCCAGTTGTGTGTGCAGCGACGTGAAGTGAATGATGCCAATTTTATTTGGCACCCTTCACAATTGGCTGTTGCGTTTCTCCCACAAAATATACACACAGTCAACTCACTTTACAGTATCCTATGAAGCGCTTGGAGACGTCTCAATGACGTGATAACGCGCTATATCGAATGCAAGGATTACTATTATTCCTTGTCTTTCAGGTCTTTGTCTTGGCTCTCACATTCCTGGTGCTGTTCTTGGGCAACTTCCTGACCACTCTTAAAGTCGTCCATCAAAAGTTTCAGAGGAATAGGAGCAAGCTGAAGAAGCCCTGAGTGGCGAGGGAGTGGTCCCTCGGAGGGAGCGAGCGAGGCAGGGGAAGGCATGCGTAACACTCCGCTCCTCCCGCTCTTGCTGCTGTAACTAGCGAGACCCGTAGTTACCTCCACGTCAACGGGATCGGATATGCAGCTTCTTTATTTTGCACAGATATTTATGGAGAATCTTTAATACCTTCGGGCAGCATATACATACACTTCACACACAAAAAAAAATGCTAAGAGGAAAAAATGTTTAAGCCAACTTCCTTTCCGTTTCAGATCTCGTTGAAGCTTTCTTTTTAAACAGCAACAAAAAAAACTCAACCACAAAAACTCACCAACGTGGCTCGTTGTTCTCTGAGCGAGCTCCTCAGTCACATACTTTGCTCTTTTTGTTTTCGAATCATGAACCATTCATCAATGTGACCTAATCTTGTGCAGCATCATGAACAAAGCCCCTTCTTAGAAAGAGGTGGGGAGGGGGCAAGAGTGAGTGCAGTTACACTTGTATTCCCCTTGCCCTTAAGATCCACTGTTTGGCTAATCATTCACCAGAGTGAAACTTGAGCCAGTTTGTGTTGAGGTGTTTGTAACTCAAGCTGAGGGGTGAGTGGTAGATGAATCAATTAAACCGTAGAAAGAAAAAAATTATCTGAACAGTGAATAAGGGATAGTCTTTTGCTGCCTTTATTGGAGTTCGATGATGAGCCTCGGTCTCGTTGTGACCACATTTTAGGGGGATACAAGACTTTAGTTACCTTCTCCAGAAACCTACACCGTGTTCAGCCCTTTATAGGTGGTTGGGGATGTCAATGAGACAGTAAATGTGTGTGAAATATTGGGATTTGGATATCACAAGTTGTGTGTTTCTGAAGATGTCTCTCTTAATGTCCGACAGCTTAGCCCATTTGTGAAGGTTCTCCCAACCCCACGTCACCTTGGTTGAGCGAGTGAGCAAGCTCCTCAGTTTTAGTGTTGTGTAACTCGCACACAAGAAAACATCAGGGTCTTTTCCAACGGGGCACGAGGGAGGCGATGCTGAACAGGACGGGTGCTCATCAGAGTTTCCCGCTGCAGAAGGAGGGAGTGGCGTGCTGGCTGGCTCGCTCACTCCAAAGCCACACACTCCACACGGAAGAGGAGCTCCCATTGCTGGGATGTGATACGTTCTATTAGTGGTAGGGTTGACTTCCTGCTGTAAACACTCTATTTTTCTCTCTCTCCCCCAACACAACCCCTTAGTGTACGTGTGTGTGTGTTTGCATCTGGTGTTGAGCAGCAATATTGCAGTGTAGATCATTGCTCTGTAAATAGCCAAATATCATCTCAGTTCCCAAGTACTGTTACACTCCACCCACCCCCCCCACCCCTCTTCCATCCCCTCCCAAAAAAAGACCGTATAACACTTGAAAGCCACTCCAGGGGCATGGGGCGTAAGTCCTTATATGTGGGTCCCAGGCCAGTAAGGGGCAGGAAACTGAGCAACAGCACATGTTAGTAACCTGAACCCAAGGGGTTAAGTCATTGTTGGTGCAGTTAAAACTTGTGGCTGGAGTAAGAGACCAGATATATCCGTGGTACTTCCCATGATTGTACAAATACAACCACGGTTAATACTTGATGCTAGCTATTTCAACTGGCAGTTCACTCACTGTGTCAGTGAATGTCTCCTAATTTCCACCCGTCGCTGAATTCTTGTAACATGTAAAATTGGAGTCCTGTAGCTCAATGGTTAGAGCGCTCACCTCGCAAGTGAGAGTACCTGGGTTTGATTCCCGGGCAGGGCGAAACGCTGGGCAAGCTTCCTTACTCTATAGTCCTCTGCAGGAAGTAGGAACCTGGTTGTTAGTTGATTGATGGATTGCTTTTCCATCATACTGCTCATTATTATCCACCTCACAAGTCTGTATTTAACATTTTACACTAAAACAATGAATTCTCATCTCTCCTAAAACGGCGAGACACACACCTGAATATATGCCAAAAGTTCAGTTCCTAAAAACTTGAACCAAACTCCCATCGGGGCATAAATAAGATAAACTTAAGTTATTTACAAAGTGTAATAAGGCAGTGATAAGCTATAGCAGTTAGCATTTGCTTAAGTAAGTCAGTCACTCAATAGACTATTTTCGGTGTTGTAGAGATAGTTGCATTTTAAGGAATGTAAGTAAGCATAAGCGAGCGATGTTAAGAGACTTGATGCCTTAAAAACTGTTGTACAGAGAGAGAATTACAAGAAATTTACCAGATAAACATGTCATGAAAATTCAATAGTTGTGCTTTTTAAATCAAGGTCCGGTACTCGAAGGAGACCTTGTGTGTGTGAAAAAGCAATCGTCTGTAATATATTGCAAATAGTGAATAGCCAGAAAGAAGTCTGTCGACAAGCAGAAACCCAGCCGCAGTGACGCACAGTATGTAAAGGAAAATGTCCCTCTCAACTTAGTGTATCTCCTAAACTGAAACGTGATTGTTTTTGTGTGTGTCTTCTCTTTACCCACTACCCCCTTGCCTCTCAATGCTGACCGTGAACACAAGCTTCCTGGACTATTTTACCCACCAATCTGCAGTCCCTTGTATTGGTTCACGTTATACTGTGAAATAGGACTTAAAGGGAAGATCTGAACTTTCCTGGTGATCAATACAGGGTAGAATCTTTCTGTACATCCTTCCGAGGGGGAGAATAGAACTCTTGGCCTTCTATATTGGGGCTTAACTTATACTGTAAATTCACTAATGTATAAGGCTGTTAAATAAATCTCTGTCGATTCAAGAAAACTGACTTAGCTTCTGCTACGTCTAAGCGCTTAACAGGGTATATTGTAAAATGGATTTACTGTACGTTTCCTTACTCCATACTCACACCTCTTTTTACCTATTAGTACATAGGAACCCAGTTGTTAGACGATTGGTAGAACGCTTTCTGGGAGAAATAATTACTCCAGGAAAAAAAAGGGTGTCACTCAAACCACGACTGTTTGTGGGATACTGCTGTGCGCAATTGGCTGCTGCGTTTCACCTACAAAACAGTCAATCCACTTGACAGTGTATTCTGTGAAACACTTTGAGACCTCTCGATGTGATCAAAGGCTATATCAAATGCAAGGAGTATTATTTTAGCAATGTCACCGAAGTGTTTATTTTTCTCTCTTCAATCTCTCCCCCCCCCCCCACTCCCCGCGATATTTTCATTACTCACAACAATTTAGAAAACCTTTTCTTTTAAGAAATGCACCTATTTTATTTTAGGTTTTTTTATTAGAAAAAAAGTGACTTAGTGCCTGCCCGCTGCACTAACTGACCGCTTCCTCACACACCTGTGCAGAGCAAGGTCAGTCTGCTAATCTCTGCTATGTTTATAGCCTGTGTCAAATGGCAGAAAATCAACTTGGGGGTCTGGGTTTGCAATGACTCAGACCCGCTCAGCAGCCTTGCTGGTTGAAGCTCATGTGACAATCTACTTGAAGCCTTCCCTCTCAAGGTGTGTTGTTTTGTCGGAGGTGCCGTCCTTCGGATGAGACATTAAGCCCATTAAAACGCCTGGGTCCTGTTCAGGTGGACCTTAAGGATCTCCAGGGGCACTCTTCGAAAACAGAAGGGAGTTTCTCTCCCTCTCTCCCTCCCGGTGTACTGGCCAACAAATCCCCCTAATAAAATTGCTCACTCACTCACTCCATGGCTGTTTCTGGGGCATGGCTGTGCGCAAACTGGCTGCCGCATTTTGAGACCAGCAAGCTCAGTACAGAGCACAAATGGAGCCTGGCACTTTGTGCTGCTTTTGGCTTAGTGCAGTGCCATTAGGAAGTGGGGGGTAGGGGTGTTGGGGAGGAAGGGGAGGGGTTGACAAACAGGTACATTTGAAATGAGCATCATTGTAATTAATCCATTCCTCCAATAACCAATTGGTTCCTCAATTGGGTGCGTGGAATGGAGCTGAGTCTCTGTTATAGCTTCCGCTGCATGGTCACATCTCTGGGTGAGAAGCCGTCACAGCAACTGGCAGGCTTTCTGCTTCTTTCGTTTCTTCCGCTTTTCCTTCAAGGCTGCTTTGGCAGTTTCTTTAAAGATGTCTTCGATGTTCTCGCGGAACTTGGCCGAGCATTCCAGGTACATCACTGCCTTGATCTGCTTGGCCGTGGCATCTCCCTTCAGCGAAGGAGAAAGGGCAGCGTTTTTAGTCTAATAGTAAGAATAATCCTTGCATTTGATATCGTGCCTTATCAGGTCAGAAGGACATATGAAAGCGCTTCCACTGTGAAACTGATTGAATGTGTAATTGTAGGCGAAAAGCGGCAGCACAATTGCACACCACAGTATGATATTATTGTCACTGTACCCTGAATGGTGCTCGCTTCACTCGTGTATTTCTCTCAATTCCATTTCAAACGTTGTTTCGGATTTCCTGTCATATCGTGTGGGGGGAGGGGGTTGAGGCAGTCCAGCAAAACTCCCAACCTTTGCCCCCTCCCCCCTTCGTGTGTGACCTTGTCTGTGTATCTGTACCTCTGAGTATGTGACTGGCTCCAGTTCGGAAGCTCGGAGTTTCCGTAACCGTTCCTTGTCCATCCGAAGATCGGTCTTGCATCCGATGAGGAGTATGGGGACCCCAGGGCAGAAGTGAGCTACCTCTGGGTACCACTACCTCAGCGGGAGAGGGAAGAGAGAAAGAGAGAGAACATGAACTGTTAGAGGTGGACACGTCATTACCATTCTCACAACTCAGCAGATTTAAATCGTCGGCAGTGACTTACACTACACCGTTGTATGATTTTCACATGAAATAAAACATCAACAGCAAATTGCATTTATATATTGCCTTTCCCGGCGAGAGGACGTCCCAAGGCGCTGGATGGTTCATTCAAGGGTTTGCATGCAAGCTGGGGGCTGTGTTTACAACGCTCGCTTCATGAATGAAGAATTTATCAACTTAAATAAATTCAGATGGACATCAAAGATCCCGTGTTAAATAACTTAAAATAATTGTTACGGAGACGCACCCAACGTCTTGTAAACGATGGCTTTATTGCAACCAAGAAAAGACGACGGGTAAAGGATAGGGCCCAGGATTTGGTGCCCAGACACGCTCACTTCCACTTCTCTCCGCTCACCTTAATCAGGACGTTCTCATAACTGGTGGGATTTGTGACATCGTAACAGATTAAGACAACGTTGGCGTCCTGGTAGGCCAGAGGCCGGAGCCTGTCATAGTCTTCTTGACCTGAGTGAGATGAGAGGGGAAAAGAAGAGGGGAGCGTGAGGTGCCAGAGCCCGAGACAGTGATGGAAGAATTTTGTCTGAAAAACATTTCATCACCAAACAGCATGCTGTGAGCCAACATAAACCCAATACCTTCAGAGGAAATCGCAACCCCACAGAGGCCGGAAGAGAGGTTAAGTGAATGCATGTCTATTTCTTCGAGCTAAATGCTAACCACATCCCTCCCATTAGTTCTCTGTGTTGGGTGTGTTGAATGGAGATGCACAATTTTACTTCCTTGTAGATATTTCAGCAACTCGAGTCGCACGCGAGCTTGGGCTTTGGTGCGCATCAGACAAGCTGATGTGATGGAAACCAACTGCATCCAGTCCAGACTGTCTGCATTTACCCTGGGTGTGATATCTGTGCAATAGCAGGGCGTAACCTTAGGCAAGTTTCCTTACTCCATATGCCTCTGTTTACCCAGCAGTAAGTAGGAACCCAGTTGATAGTCGATTGACGGATCGCTTTCCAGCGGTAATAATCACTCCCCCCTCCCACCCCATCCTCAATAAAATACTGTAATTTGGTCACTCAATCTATGACTGTTTGTGGCATGTTGCTCTGCGCAAATGTATTTTGGCCGCACTAGAAAGGGACGTGGACTAGCCTCCTCTCTTCTCCACCCCCCGCCCCCACTAGGCTCGGTGCCCGGGAGAACCTGTCTGCAGTTGGCACAAGCACTATTTCCTCAGGTGGGGGAGAAGTCACACAGGGAGTCAGCCGCTGCCAAGGAAGAGGCCAAGCACTTCTCGTCACAGGGTTGGAGCTCTCCTCTGCGGAAGCCTTCAGCAGCCTCTCCCCCCGCCCTCTGGCTCCTCTCTTTCTCCCCAAATTCCCCTTGCCTTGCCCCCAATACACTTTGGTTCCCTGCCTTTGGAACCCTCTTAAAACACACAGCACTCTTCATCTCTCCTCCGTCTTGTCCCCGCTCTGAAATCCCCATTATGAGACCTCTAGTATAGTGGTTAGTACCCGGGTTTGATTCCCGGGAGAGGCAAAAACCTTAGGCAAGTTTCCTTACTGCATGTGCCTCCATTTACCCAGCAGTAAGCAGGTTGTTAGTCGACTGGCAGATTACTTTCCAGAGGTAATAATCCCTTGAGATAAAAAAAAACACTTGGCTACTCAATCCACGATTTTGCTGTGCGCAATTGGCTCCCGTGTTTCACCCACAAAATACACAGTGAATTTGCTTTACAATATATTCTGTGAAGCACTTTCAGATCTCAGTGAGATGATAAGGTGCTATATCAAATGCAAGGATTGTTATGGTCTCTGAGGAGCACTTTTGAGAGGTCCGTCCGACACAAAGTCAAAGCCACATTTTTTCTTTTCATTTTCTTTTTTGAGCTAACAGGAAAGCCGGCAACACTGAAATCTATTTTCCCGCTGAGCACATTCTCAATTCCCAAAATGTGTTTATCAGAAGGATCCTCTTAAGATGGAGACACCTTTCCTTTTTAATGACAATCTTGAGTGTGCATCATAACAGGAGGTGTCGAGCATTGGGCCTCTTGACTCGCTGAGTTATCTACTCTGGCGTTTACACCAACATGGACATCAAATCACACTATCGTGTATCTAGCAATAACCCGGCTTTAATACTGAGAGAGAACCCACAAGTTACAGAGCCCTTTCAGGTCGAAAAGTCTTGAAGCGCTTAACATTATAATTAATAAATAATAATCCTTGCATTTGATATAGCGCCTTATCACGTCGTTGAGACGTCTCAAAGTGCTTCACAGGATTTAGTATACAGTGGAGCGACTGTGTATTTTGTGGGCAAAACGCGGCAGCCAATTGCACACAGCAGTGTCCCACAGACAAACGTGGATTGAGTGACCACTTTTTTTTTTTGGAGTGATTATTACCCCTGGAAAGCGATCCGCCAATCGACTGACAGCTGGGTTCCTACTTACTGCTGGGTAAACAGAGGTGAGTGGTGTAAGGAAACTTGCTAAAACTTGTCTTAATTCATTACTATCTAGCATAGTGACTATGTGTTTGTATAACAAGCACACACAGCAAAATCCCACAGCCAGCCAAGAGATGAATAGTCAACATTTTTAAAAATAATTAATAATAAAAATAATTAAGTCACTCAATCCACGACTGTTCCCCCCCCTTCCCCCACGCAGCAGATATCTGTGCTAAGGGAGAGCACTAATGTGCCAATGGTTTTAGTTGGATACTTGCCCTCGTCCCATAAGCCCAGCGGTCAATCGTAATTGCACGGAGCACACAGAATGACTGCCGATCAATTCAGCCTAATTCTGTCCTGCACTAGGGTACAGCAGGTTCCAGGTACATCTCTCGCTCTCGCCATGTTACTTCCAACATTTGACAGAAATCTTGGCGTTGTCTCAAAAAGGGGCATCTCAGAGGTGACCATATATATAGTCAAACCTGCTCAAGCAACCACTCCCTAATAAATAATAATCCTTTTGCAGCCAAACTCGCTCCCCTCTCCGCTTGCCTCCTTCAAGGCACGTCTCCAGACCCTCCTCTTTGACTGTGCCTTTGGTCGCCCTCCTATCCTCACCCTACCCTCCCTGTCCTCCACTCCTCCTGATCCCAGTCCCCAGCTTGGTGACAAATCGTTGACTGTCCCGGGCCCTGGGACGTCCTCCCAACGTGAAAAGTGCTGTGTCAATGTAATTTGTTGTTGTTGTCTTACCCGCCGTGTCATACAGTGTCAAGGTAACAATCTTGTTCCCAACGGTTATGTCCTTTACGTATTTTTCAAACACAGAAGGAGCGTATTGCTGGGGGAGAAATGTACACAAGAGGAAACAAAACGTCAATGTGTTTTTTCTGCAATGGGAATGCACAACTTAAACATGTACTGTGGAATTCAGAGCAGAAATCATCTTAAGGAGTAATTATCTATCAGTATATATCTATTTATTTATCTATCTGTCCCCCAACATGGTCCTAGTCTTGTCTAGTCTCGTAACTGGACCTAACACACACACTCTGGGGTCCCCCCAAGCCTTGGCTCTTGCCAACCTGCACCTAATACTTTTGGAATTAGGTGGGGTGTGAACTTGGATCAACCGATGCAGGTCGGGCTGAAACGGAACGGGAAGGAAATTAGCAAAAACTATGCACCACTGGTAGAACAGGTTGTGGGGTGGCTGGTGACGTGCGAGAGTGACTGACGCTAGACATGGTGTCTGAGAAAATGACACCTTTGCTGGGCGCCGAGCCAGTTACAGTGTCTGAGACACTCAGACTCCCGTTCAGAATCCCCTCGTCTTCCATTCGCCTACAAAACACACAGTCACTATACCTTAGAGTAAATCCTATGTGCTATATCAAATGCCAGGATTAATGTTACTAATAATTGTTGCCATTGTTGTTACTAACTACACTGCAAAGCTTTGGAACTTTTGTCCCCAATCCCTCCGCCTTGCCCCCTCCTTCCCCTCTTTTAGAGCACGACTGAAGACCTTCCTCTTTGGCCGCGCATATGGTCATTTCCCGCCCAGCTCAGTGTCGGGCTCTGCCACTGTTGAGCGCTCTTGAGACACTGCCCCGCATGAAGGGCAAGTTGTTTGTTGTACTCAACCCTCAACCTTTTCAAAGTCATTCCAATCAGTCCTGCGGGCGTGGGGAGGAATTGGCTAGCTCTGAGACGAGGTGGGGTGATCCTAGCTGAACAAGTGGAACTGTAAGTGAGGCAGACACGCGGGGTTAGTAATGAACCTGTTACAGATTGTCCACCGTTGAAACAGTCCGACCCCTGGGCAGAACAGCCACGATCGTTAGCATGTGGCGTCACCCTCAGCTTGTGCTCTCTGGAAGCCCAGTCAACAATAACACCAGCAACAACTTACAGTTATATAGCTCCCCTCACGCACGGTAGTGTCCCAGAGCGCTCCGAGAGTCACAACGAGAACAGGGAGGAGCAAATGAGTAAGCAAGACAGCAGCCAAGGTCTCTGTTGCACATATGAGGGCTTCAATTGTGGTTCTGGCCACACCCTTGATTTCCGTTGCTTGACACGCTCTCCACTCTCAAGGTGACTGGCATTCTGGTCTCGTATCTCACCTCTGCTTCCTTCCCCCAACTCCTATCTACGTCTGCCTTTACTGTTGGCCTTCTAAGGCCAATCCACTGTAAGGTATTTAAGCACTGTGACTTGCTCCTCCACACTGCCCTGCACCATTACCACTGACTCGCGTTCGCCCACAAAACACACAGTCACTACACTTCACAGTAAATCCTATGCGCTGTAGCAAATGCCAGCATTATTGTTCCTCCCACAAAATGCACAGTCACTCCACCATTGGTTGTTACTCCTTTAAACGACGACCAACATTTCTCTCTTGTCGGGTCTCTCACTCTCACATCTTTCTTTTGAGCTCACGGTCCAGGTTGGTGCTACAGCACAGTACCGGGGGGGGGGGGGGGGGGGGGAGAAGTGCATTGTCGGAGGTGCCGTCCTTCAGATGAGACCTTAAATCAATGTCACGCTCCTTGTGACCCTGTTCAGGTGGACGTTAAAGATCTCCCCGCGATGCTTAGGGGAGATGAGTAGGGAAGTTTCTTACTCCCGGTGTCCTGGCCAATAATCCCTCCAGATACAATTGATCATTCACGTCATGGCAATCGCAATCGCCCACACATACGCAGTCGTTAACGGTTGACACTGGGCTTTGAGATGTTCGGAAACAATCGGGTGCTCTTATCTTTCTTCTCTTTTCCCTTCTGTTGGTTCTTATCCCACTCATTCAGCCTTTCCCACAGAACTCTCCACCCCCACCCTCTCTCCCCTCCCTCCCATCAATTTCCTGTTGCTTCCCTCCTTTTCTCTGTTTGTCTATATCTTGTTTTCCCTTCTCTCTCTCTCTCCCCCTCTTCGCCCCTTCCTGTGTCTTTCCTTTCTGTTTCTCTCCCTCTTCCCCATTTGTTTCCTTTCTTCACTTTCTCTCTTCTCTCCCTTACTCTCTTCCTTTTCTCTCATTCCCTCTCTCTCACACACACACACGCACACAGACGCACATTCTCTCAAACTCTTCTCCTCTCTTCACACTGTTTCTCGCACACCGTCACACTCTCCGTCTCCCCCACTCTCACACATGCTCTCTCACCTCAGGGAAGTCTCCCTTGGCGAACACCAGCAGGAGGGAGGTTTTGCCACAACCCCCGTCGCCCACTATCACAATCTTCAGCTCCCTTCCCGCAGGCTGGCACTCCCGCTCTGACATGTTCCCTGTGCCTGGGGCAGTGACAGCTCACACACCAGCAGCTCAGCTTCTGAGAACCGCAGCCACAGGAAGAGCCTGCGCTCTCGGTGTAATTCGGATGCGGTCTGTGACTGTGTTCGCTCTCCCTCTGTCGTATCTGTTTATCTTGATTTGTGTCTATCTGTGTCTGTGTTCCCTCTCTCTCTGATTCTCTGTCTGTGTCGATCTCTGGATGTTTCTGTCAGTGTGTGTGTCTATCTCTGTGTGTTTCTGTGTCTTATTTCTCTCTGTCTGTGTCTATCTGTTGGTCTCTGTCTCTCTATCTGTCTCTCTGTCTGTATCTGTTTGTGTTGCTGTCTGTGTTTCCGTCTCTCTGTATTTGTCCCTGTTTATCTAAATTTACATGTTAGTAATTTGCACTTGTTACTGAGACACCAAGTTTACACTGAAATGTTAAGCCAACTCCCAAATGCAGTTCCTGAAACTCCCTCCTTCTTGACACTGTTAACAGAAGCTTTTCACGCATTGTGTACTTTTCATCTAAAATGTGCTGTGACTGTTAAACTAAAAGGCGTGAACGTAAGTAAAATCCGAGCAGTTGTGTTAAGTTTACAAACATGCCCAAAAGTAATAAATAATAATCCTTGCATTTGATCATATCACATTGTCGAGTCGTCTCAAAGCGCTTCACAGGATTTTACTGTGGAGTGCCTGTATCTTGAGGACAAAAGGTGGACTATTTTTATGAATAATCCCTGACCTCCCACACCCACTCTTCCTCCTCCCACCCAATAAGATCAGACAACGTATCTGTGAGTGAATGTGTCACTGCTTCCTGGGCGCTGATGGTGCAATTTTCTCAACCTCTGCAAGTAATAAAACTCTTAGTTTTATTGGGTTTATAAGAATAAAAATGACTTGAACCTCGTGTGCTCGAGGGTCACTGTGGGCGGATGAGAGCTCCGCACAGCGCCATCTACTGCCAGTCAACGATCCACCACAGTTACTTCACTCGGATGAAAATTAGCCTCCAACTTGATGCAGCTCCTCCAGTCTTCTAACCCATCCCTATTAATTGCTGTCCATGTAGTGTAGTGACCGTGTGTTTTGTAGGCCAACCCAACTAAGCCTGACGTTCCAATGCAGCGCTGGGAGGGGGGGGTGGTCATTGCATTGAAGGAGGTGCCATCCTTCGGAGAGGTGTGAAACCGAGGTCCCATCTGCCAGTTCAGATGGGACTATTCGAAAAGTTAAGGGGGTTTCATTCACTCTCCCGGTCTACTGGCCAACAATCCCCCAAATAAAATCGGTCGGTACTCCAATGTCTGTTTGTGGGATATTGCTGGTTGTCGCGTTTCACCCACAAAATACACAGTCACTGCACTTTACAGTATATCCTGTGAAGCGCTTTGAGGCATCTCGACAATGCCATGAGGTAAGGTGCTTTATCGACGGCAAGGATTATTATTAAAATGTGGATATAAACCAGTGATACCAGGGAGAAGGTTTCTCCTTTCTTTGATGTAGCTAACAGGAGAGCACTCTCTTTTGATATTCCACCTGAATCATGTACAATAATGAGAAACTGGGTAGAACTTGATATACAATTGCACTTTTATTAAGATGAAATCAAAACAATATTTTCAGATTTGTTACAGTGTCTTGCTGGAGAATATGACTGGGTTCAACCCCTCTTTTGTCATTTTCCACTTAGTTTATCAACATCTTAAAATAAATCACAAACAGACGGTTACATGGTATCATCTCGGGTCATTTCAACACGAGGGGAGGAAATCAGTGACACCAGTTAAAAAGTTGCTGAAATTAACCTTAAAAGCCTGCGACTATGTTACCAATATTTCAGGTGTTTGCATTTATTCAAAATGTATTTTAAATAAATATTATTTATTATTAACATACCGAGATTGGAACGCACAACGCGCACACACACACACAGTTGTTTTTGTAAGTGATAGTAAATATATAACCATTCAAAAAAAAACTGGACACATGGTTAAGAGTGGGAGTCCTGTAGCTCAGTGGTTAGAGCACTCGCTTTGCAAGCGGGAGACCTGAGTTCAATTCCAGGCAGAGGGCGAAACCTTGGGCAAGTTTCCTTACTCCACACAGAGCCTAATAATAATCCCTCCAAAAAACCAAAAACAATAATAAATTGGTCATTTTCAATCTACGACTGTTTGTGGGTCATTGCTGTGCGCAATTGGCTGCCGCGTTCGCCCACAAATATACAGTCAGTTCACTTTACAGTGTGTTCTGTGAAGCGCTTTGGGTCGTCCTCCTAACGTGAAAAGTGCTATATCAAATGCGAGGGTTATTATTATAAGAGAGAATAAAGTTGAGGAAAATGGGGGGGGTGGGGGGTAGAAAGAGTCAGGATTCGGAATAGGGAGATAATAATCCCTGCATTTGATACAGCATCTTACCTTATTGAGACGTCTCAAAGTGCTTCACAGAATATACTGTAAAGTGGTTCAACAGTGTATTTTGTGGGTGAAACGCGGCAGCCAACTGCACACAGCAGTTTCCCCACAAACAGTCGTGGACTGAGTGACCAAATTATTAGTGTTTAGATTTTAAGGGATTCCTACCCCCGGAAACGAACCACCAACTGACTAACAACCGGGTTCCTACCGACTTCTAGGTAAACACAGGCGAGCGTGTTTGGAGTAAGGAAACTTGCCGATGGTTTTGCCCCGCTCGGGTATCGAACCCGGGTCCTTTCACTTGCGAGGCGAGTGCGCTAACCACTAGGCTATAGGTCTGCACACATCTAGGATGGGTGGAGTATAAACCACGCGCCAAACAGCCTCTTTCGCAGTTGCACTGTATCTTTTATGAATCTCTAAAAACTAAAGCTCTCTAAAAACTTGGGGTGTGCGGAATGAGGGACTGGGGTTTAAGTGGAGCTATTTCACAGGCCTGGGAAGGGGAGGGGAACAGAAGGGATCATGAATTTTGACTGAAAAAAAATGATTAGACAAGACTTATTTACAATAATTTCAAATCACCCCCTCCCCATGTAATAATTCCAAGGCATCATTCTATGGTATACAAAAATATACTGAGTTCCGAATAAAGCCTCCTATCTTTATCACAACACAGACATTTCTTTCTGCCCCATCCCCCACGGATGTCAGTTCCCACTCTTCTCAAACACCATTATCCCCATGTTGCCGACCAAATCCCAACAATAATAATAATAATCCTTGCATTTGATATAGCGCTTTTCACGTCGGGAGGACGTCCCAAAGCGCTTCACAGAACACACTGTAAAGTGAATTGACTGTATATTTGTGGGCGAACGTCCCAATCGGCTAAATATGCTTCCAACTCACCCCAGCAATAGAGAGAGAGTGAGTGAGAGAGAGAGAGAGAGAGAGAGCACTTTGCATTCCACTGGAGAGAGAGAAAAATCCGTGTGTGTTGTTCAAAAGTCACATTGCAACTGACTCACTCACAGCAGGAAAAAAAAATGGGTTTTTTTCTGAAAGAAAAACACACCACACAAATAAAATCCACTTTACCTCCTTTGCACAATGTCTTTGCCAATTCCTGTTCTGCAGAACCAGGCGAGAGATTTGAGATCATTGGCAACGCTCAGTCTGGGTTCTGCTTCCTTACTGTTGTTGGGTGCATCTGTGACCCTTTGTGTCTCTGTGTGTTAAGATCTCTCTCTCTCTCTCTTCTCTGCTCGTTTTACAATGAAATATTAATTAACAAACGCTTTTGCAGAGCAGACGCCATTGGAAGATGAGGAGGAGGAGAAAGAGTGGGGGTGTGTGGGGGGGAAAGGACTCAGACAGATGGGAAGATCAGGGAGGGAGGATGGGTGGCTCAGAGCTTCAGACTGTTTCTGGATACATTGGCTCTCAACAAACGCCCACAGCAACTATTGTTCATCTCTCTAAGCGCAGACATGTGGTGTCGTGTGGGCGAGTCTGTGTGTGTGAGTGTGTCTGTGTGAGTGAGTGTGTCTGTCTGTCTGTCTGTCTGTGAGTGTGTGTGTGAGTGTGTCTGTGTGTGAGTGAGTGTGTCTGTGTGAGTGTGTGTGAGTGTGTCTGTGTGTGAGTGTCTCTGTGAGTGTGTGTCTGTGTGAGTGTGTGTGTGTGAGTGAGTCTGAGTGTGTCTTGTGTGTGAGTGAGTGTGAGTGAATGAGTCTGTGTGTGAGTGAGTGTGTCTGTGTGTGAGTGAGTGTGTCTGTGAATGAGTGTGTGTGAGTGTCTGTGAGTGAGTGTCTGTGAGTGATTGTGTGAGTGAGTCTGAGTGTGTCTTGTGTGTGAGTGAGTGTGAGTGAGTCTGTGTGTGAGTGAGTGTGAGTGAGTCTGTGTGTGAGTGAGTCTGTGTTTGTGAGTGAGTGAGTGAGTGTGTGTGTGTAGTGAGAGCTTTGAGCCGCCCACAGGCCTCGCATTGAATAATCTGTGGCGCATTTACAGAGAGAGAGACAGAGAGAGTGGGGGCACTGCACTGACTGAAACACACCTCTCACCCCCCAAAACTGAAACCCTCGACAATATGGGGCAAAATAGGACTTCAATCAAAGCTTTGATAAACCCCACAACCTGTTAAAAACACACACACCACACACAACATTAACTGAAGTCTCTCCCCCCTCTCTCTCTCTCTCTCCATTTTAGATTATTTTAATAACAGTTGGAAGAGAGAGATCTCTCCCTTTCACCTCTGCACTGTTCACCAATGTATCCCCCACACACCTGATCCTGGTCTGTGTGGATAAGACAGGGTTTATTGCTGCTTTTTGCCTGTATTTTTTTTCCCCCCCCCCCCCCCCCTATTTGCACAATAGCTACATTCTTCCCCCAATGTTAATTAAAGCTAAAAAAAACTCCATTTTGTTTCAGCTGTTTTGTCCTTCTCTGCACACACACACACACACACACCATTTACTCAACCCCCAGACAGAAAAAACACGTTCAATCTCCCCCTCGAAAAAAGAAAATCGCCCCAAAAGGCAACGACCACTTCAAGACGCAGCATTCACAGACGCACCAGAGATGTTTTGCAGCAGAAATGGTCACATTTTTCTCATTCGTTTCGCTGAAAAGGGCTCCACACAGTCAATGCAAATGTCACCAGTCATTCCTGAGGTCGCCACGTCCTGAATTTCAACACCTTTCAAAGGGATTTACGCACCACATTTGTTGACGATAAATATAGATATTTATACATAATGTGTGTGTATATATATATATTTTAAAATCGTTAAAACTTCGTGGATTCCATTCTAAACAGAAACCTCCCAACAAACCTTTCAGGTATTTCAAATCGAAGGTCCAATGTTTTCTTGTCCCCCTTTTCTTTTTTCACGTTGTACTAATTCACGTGGAATCGAAGTGAAAAGCAAGAAACGACCGAAAAGGGGTTGGAGTCGACTGGACGTGAGAGAGAGAGTGTTATGCATCAAAGAGAAGGGGGGGAAAAAAAAGGGGGTTTTATAGGGGGAAAAAATACAAATACAACGGGTGAACCACACAACTGAATATCTTACCAACATTCTCACTCAGGTTAAATAGTGAATTAAATCTTACAGACCTTTTCAATCCAGTTTTAAGTAAAACAGGCATTTTTTCAGCTCTCTGGAGGTACATCACCTGGTTGATATAAGGGCATATTTTGAGATGCATATATATATATATATGTGTGTGTGTATTTCTCTCTCTCTCTCGATATATATATATAGAATATGAAATCTGTACTGAAGGCAATGATTTAACACAGGGCATGTGCTAAAAGGAGGGCCAGCGATGGTCTGATTTTAACAAAACAGTTTTAATTCACATTGAAAGCAAAACACACAGCAAGATCTGAAATATAATGCAGGTTTCTTTGGACGTTAAGATTTCTCATAGCAAAATGCCTTGCATTAAACTCAAATCAATTTCATTCACAACTGAAAGCTTAAAAATATGCATTCTCTTGGAATTTAATCTTTATATACTATATATATATATTATACACACGCACACATGCTGTATAGAAAGCTTATAAAATAAATGGCTATTTTTTGAGGGGAAAAACAGTTAAGGCATCATAAGGTTATTATTAATAGGCACAACATTTCGAGGGGAAAATGATTCTGTGCAAAATACGAAGGGATCAAATTAAAATACCAAAATTGTTGTATGTTAATATCAGAATTATTATCAGTTAAAAGACAACGCCTAAAAATACCAAATAGGTTATATTCCAATTATTCTTCATTTAAAGAGAT